TTCCTTTATTGTTTTTCTCAAAATTCTATTTGGAGAAGAAGGAAAAAAAAAAAGACTGTCTCCAGGCAGATATGGTGTTTCACACCAGTAATCCCAGTACTGTGAGAGGCTGAGCATGAAGGATCATAGATTGGAGGCACTCTGAACAACTTGGCAATTTAGTGAGGTCCTGTCTTAAAATCAAAAATAAAAAGGGGGTCAGCCTCAGTGGCACACACCTGTACCCCTGGCACTTAGGAGACTAAAGCAATAGAATAACCACAAGTTTCAGGCTAGCCTGGGTTACAGTGAATTCAAAGCCAGCCTGAACTACAAAGAGACTGCCTCAAAAAAATCATAAATAAATAATAAAGAAAAAGGGCTGGGGACATAATTCAATGTAAAGGTCTTGGGTTCAATCCTCACTGAATTCACAAAAAAAAAAAAAAAATAAAAACAGGGAAAAAGAAAAGAAAGAAAAGATTGTCTCTATTTTGCTCTGCCTTGTACCCTCAGCTCCTGGCCCAATGCCCTGTGTACTGCAAAATGCCCCAAACATGATTGAACAAATGAATGAAATGAAGAGCCTGAAGAGGAAGAAAAGATGGCAAGGACAGGGAAAAAGAATAAGGGAGGACCCAGCTATAACAAATCAGTGGGTATCATAAAAGCAGGATGTGAACAAATGCCGAGGCCAGGTTGGAGTCCAGAGGCACAAATGCCTCAAGAAAGACACAGAGCTACTCTTGGCCTGTTGGGCTCTAGGAAGGGGGCTAGCATCCCTCACAGGAACAAAGCTGGCGAGTCCACACTTAAAGAACTTGGCCTACCTTAAGACAAGTTATAATGGCAATCAAAAGGGGCCAACTCCTGAGCTGGAGCTGGAGCAAATGTTACTACGTTTGTCTAGTATACACAAAGCCCTGGGTTTGGTCGTCAGCACACACATACACATACACAAAAGTGCCAACTCCTTCCCAAATGCTGGCCAGGGTCAGGCAGAAGGTCCTCCAGGGCTCAGGTCTCCAACAGAGTGTGCAGGAATAGTAGGAGCAGCAACTGGCCCTAGGTCTGGGAAGTGAGGTGTGGAGACAAGGGTGAAGAGAAAAGTATCACACCCTTCCTGCTGTTTCACAGTTCAAGGTCTGTGTGGGTCCTTCCAACAAAGAAGTAGGAGCCCAGTGACAGCAATTATCTCTGCATTTCTGAGCCTGTTTCTCAACTGTAAAATGGAGATGACAGTGCCTTCCTGAAGGGTAGTATAAATATTAAATAAGAAACCAAGACAAACATTCAACAATATACCTGGCACACATTACACACTGCACTGGAGGAATTAGCTATACTTGTATCACTTCTATACCTTCTGTACCATCCTGCCCAAAAACCTACCATCAAAGAAATGGCAGTGTTTTACAACACCCTATGAAATCCAGAATGAAATCTTGTCCAGTCACATACAGAGAAAAGAAAGAACTTTGAGGGGCTACCGTGGTGATTATATGACTAGCCCCAAGTAAGTCAATATAGGGAAGCTGTACACAGGCTGTTCATTCATGTTAAATGCACATTAAGTTAGCACCTCGTGTGTGCAAGTTTTATGTTAACAATAAGCTCTGACTCAGGAAAACACAACACAGAGAAGTGCTTTGATTCTGTCCTTCAACCTGCCATGCAGGAGAAATATTAACTTCAAGTTAGATGAAAAGAAACACATGGAGCTGACAAGCTAAGTGAGTTCTGTACTGGCCTCTGGGTTACTGATGTGGCCCTGACTCATGAAAGGAGCTTATGGCACCCTGAGGACATAGGCAGTTACTATCCTCATTCTTATGGCATAGCATTGTCTGGTTCCACAAACATCCATAACCATCAGGCCCCAGCATTCATGGCAAACCTATGTATTTGCCTTGCTTTATCCACAATCATCTCTCTCCCTCCCTACTCTCTGGGTTTAAAGGACAGGGCATTTCTCAGCAGCTTTTATCAATATTTGACTCCGACAAGAACAAGGAGAGAAATGAAGTTGTGCCTATGGATTCATCCCATTAACTCACATAAATCTTACAGGAGATGGACAAGTAAAACCTGATGCATGTTCCTTAGAGGGCCCTGATACTCATGGAAGTTTCTGTAGGACTAGGGCAAAAGGATGTAACTGCATTAATTGAGGGTGTTCAAAACTCATACTATATTTTAGGTCTGTTGGTGCATGCCTGCAATCCTAAGCACTCAAAAGACTGAAGCAGAAGGACTGCCAAGTTCCAGATCAGGGTTCAAGGGTTACTGCCTTGGGGCTAACACAGACCCACCACCCCAAGGCCACACCTCAGAGCCAGAACCAGAGCCAAATCCACCACCAACGTGCTTATAAATAGCAGCTGCTCACAGAAAGCGCACACCTCCTTCCTGGAAGCTCTCATCTCCAAGAATTGGCAATGCTTTTGCTCTGGAACATAACCCTAAAATCACTGTGTACCTAAAAGAATAAGAAACCAAAGCCCCTGACAGGAAGGTTTCCATCTCTACAGAGATCCAAAACCATGGCTCCTGCAGGTACTGGACACATGGTCACAACACATCATCACTGCTTCAGGTATCAATGCTAATAAAAGACTATTTCAATGACTCATATGTTTGTGAAGCTGGACAGAGTTCACTCATCTACCTGTCTGAGAACAAGCCAGACAAGACTTCAAGGCAGGTAAGTGATCTGGCTATGATCAAGAAGTGGTCCTTGTCAGGCATGGTGTCACATACCTGTAATCCCAGCACTCCAGGCACTGAGGCAGGAGGACTGCCATGAGTTCAAGGCCAGCGTGGGCTCAACAGTGACTTCAAGGTCAGCCTGAATTACATAGCAGACTACTGTCTAAAATAAACAAACAAAGAGGTGGTCTGGGCTTTGCTGGAACAGTATGCCTCTCACCAAATGGGAACCTTCCTGACACCAAATTCAGAACATGAAAGTGTAGGCCACAAACGAGAAACTGGAAATATACTGAGGATCAAACTCAGGTACACTATTACAACCAAGCTACATCCTCAAGCTCTCATTTTGAGACAAGGTCTTATGCTAGGTCACCCAGGGTGATCCCTAACTTGAGATCAATCTGCTTCAGCCTTCTAAGCTGTTGGGATTACAGGCATGCATCACTGTCTGTCTCTGAGGGCTTTTAAAAATAAAGGAAAAAATGAAATATTCACATATTCTTTGTCAGAGAACCAGAAATCCAAAGCTCCTATTAATTTCTTAAAAGAACAAACTCACAGGGTACTGAATCCCAAAAGCTTATTGATCCAGAGCTTCCAAACCCCAATGTTCTTTCTGAGGAAGTCCAAGTATTCTTAGACCCACCAATTTCACTGTTAAGAGGGCTTCCAGGATCAGCGATGTGATGTTCCAATCACAGTGCCCCAAACCTCATGCTCTGTACATCTTAACTCCAAGAATCCCTGAAAATGGGTAGTATAGTGCTACTGCCCAGATATTCAACCCTCTCTGAGTGATACTACAGGACATCTATGGGAACCTTCATATGTATTTTGGCCCTACCAGTTCTCAGCCTAAGAGCAAGCTTCCTACATCATCTCTGGCAGATGGCCCTCTGAGGTACCAGGCCTTATGTGCTTCCCATCTCCACTACCTGAAATAGATCTTCATGTTTTATGCAATATTGGTCCCACTTCAGTCAACTTGTAATAGGAAGTGTGACAATGCACACCAGCTAGACAAAAGGAACAGCAATTACTTGTCTCTGCAGTTACTAGCTATGCTCACAAATGAAGCTGGTGAGGCTAACCAAGAGGCCAAGCTGACTCTCAGAAGCACCAGGTAAACTGGATGTGGTGGTGCATACTTGTAATCTCATCTCTTGGGAGGTTAAGGCAAGAGTACTGCTGGTAGTTCGAGGCCAGCCTGAGTTATGCTGTGAGTTTAAAGCCGCTTGAACTAATACAGTGCGATCCTGTCTCAAAAAAACAAAACAAAGCACCAGATAAGTCTCAGGGAAACACAACCTCTGAGTGTTCTCAGCCCTTCAACCTAGCACTAGAAAGTCACACTACTGCGGGAAAAGCCATTGGATGGTCCCTTGGTGCAGGAGTATCATCCTGGAAATGTTAGGGTCAAGTCCCAGACAAAGTGGTCTAAGTGTGAAAGGGCTCTCCACATCTGTAGACCTCATACTTTCTCTTCCCCACCGAAAAGCAAACACATAGCTTTTCCTCTTTGGCCCTTAGACATCTGCTCTAAGCTGAGACTAAGAGTAGGTAGCAGAGCAGATCCAGCACTCCTGCTCAGGAGAGAGCCCTGAGTTAGTTCAAGTGATCAATACCCATGACAAGTCCTAAAACCAAGGGTTGCAAGATGCAACATCCACAGGCAAACGACTTAGCAAACAGCAAATGCTCAGAGCAGCCAGACAGGACCGACAAGAACGCAAGGAAAAAGGCAGGGAGGAGGCCAGAGGCCGGGGATAGAAGTGAAATTAGTCAGGTGAGAAAGCACTTCAGAATACCCAAGGGCTTAAGAGAGGCTGGATGCTGACTCGCCGCGTTTCTCTGATATCAGGGGAGCCGCCTGGGTCTTCTAATGACACATCCCTGCAGCCTGGAACCCAATCCCATCAACTATTAATTCCATTTTTATCTTAAATACTGAAATTAAAAGGCAAGCTCAGGCAAGCGCTGGTGATGCAATCTACCTGGTGTATTTGAGCCGTGTACCCGGAAGTTAAAGGGAGTATTTAATAACACCGCTGTCAGGGTGTTTTCTCCGGACACAAGCCTTTGTGGGTTCCCTACGCAAGACTCGGAGGACAGCAGTACGAAAGGACCTCCGCCATCCGTGCGGTGCTAGCCGTGATCCAACCTAGTTCTGCCAGACCCCCAGAACCCCACCGCCTGGATCTTGGTTAGCTGAACACAGACGCTCAGGCAGTTCCCCGCGCTGGGGTAGGGATGCAGCGCCAGGGCAAAGGGTCTGAGGCCCCGCCGCCCCCACCCCCACCCCAGCCTACCGTTGCTGTAGGCGTACGGGGACTCGGCCGCGCCGTCCTGTAGGCTTTCCAGTATCTCGCCCTTGCCCACGTCGCTGTCGCCCACCAGCAGGAACTTGAGTAGATAGTCGTAGCTCTTCACTGGACTGCCCTGGGTGCCCATCCTCCAGCCGCCGCTCCGCGGCTCGAGGGCGCCGCCACCGCCGCCGCCGCACCTGCGGGCGGAGGCAAGTAAGCGGCGCCCAGCAGGACACGAAGGCGCGTGACCGCCCGCCGCCCACGGCGCTCTCACCTGGCCTCCCCCCGTTTCACCTCAGTCTCGCTACCGCCGTCCGCCGCTTCCCGCAAGGCACCGCACAACGCCACCACCCCGCCCCCGACCGCGCCTCCACCATTGGCCGCCCACCGCCGGCCCTCCTCGAACCATTGGCCTGGCCAACCTTCCGTCACGGGCGCCCCACCCACACGCTTTCCCACACAGCGCCGCGCATGCGGCAGTCGCCACGCCCTATCACCGCCCCATTCTGCCCTCCCGCGGTCACCATTGGCCGCGAGCCGCCAATTTTCCTGCAGCTGTTGGCCCGTTCTCTCGTCCGTCACGATCTCCCGGCCTTTCCTGTTTCCCACACAGCGTTGCAGAAGCTTCCGTACCATGCCTACTCAACGCCGCCATAGGCCAGAGGGCTCCCGCTTTTCCGAAAGTATTGGTTCTCCTACACGTCTGTCAATTCTACTATTGGCCCGTCTCTTCCCACAGAGCGCCATCTAGCCACCCATAACGCAGCCGACTGGCCTACAATTTCTCCAGTCCTCGCCTGCACCCTTACAGACACCCTTGGCCACTGCTACCGAGCCATTGGGCCGTCCTTACACTGTCACGACCCACTAACCCCGCCCCTTTCCTAGCGTTCGCCAAGCAGGAGCTGGAATGCCACGTTATTTGCGCATGTTCCCCTTCCTCCGTCCAGGGGCTACAGGACAGTGGCGACGCTTGGTGGGGTCTTCCGAGCAGACGGCGTTGGTAGCTCTCGCAGAGACCCAGAAAAGGGAGCATAAGTGCCCAATACATCGATTTGAGCCGTCCGTTTATGGGGCAGAGGCGGGACTTATGCCAGGTGATACTAAGGGGGCGGGACTTCCTTCTGGCTTGCGCGGGCCCGCTGGTGACAGCTGAACTCTACCTCCGAGCGGACCTCTGCTGAGGGGACATCTTTCAGGATAGTGAGTCTCAGTGAAGCAGTGTTGGCCGCAGGCGGATCACCGAATTGGGGTGAGGGCCTGGGAGGCCGGCATCTCGTCACAGATGCACCGCTGGCTAGGAAATTTCCCCACGGGAGTTATTCATAACCTTGAGAACATAAGCACTGGAACTAGTAACTCAAAAGTTAAGCACAGAATGCCACTTCAAGAGGGAATTCATATTCATCTAAGAACGTATAGGTCAAGATCTATAAGAAACCACCAGAGCATCCAACCGGATGAATAAACAAATGAGATATGTCCACTTAATGGAATATATTACCCAAAATAGATGTTGAAATATTGATACATGAATGAACTTGGAAATATGCATACTATATGATTCCATTTATATACACTTTCCAAAACGGCAGATTCATAGAAAGTATGTCAATGGCTCCAGGATTGTGGGAGGTAGTGAGGAAGTGACTACTCAGCTGACAAGGAATCTTCTTCAGAGGAGAGAGTCATTATGTCACTTGGTAATTACTGAAAATCATTTAATTGTGCACTCAAAATAGGTGCATATATATACCTGCTTTATATGCCTCAATAAAGCTGTTGAATCTAATATAAAAGGACAAGTGTAGCAGCTGGTGGCTGTACCAGCTACACAGGAGACTGAGGCAGAAGGATGAAAAGTTCCAGGACAGCCGGGCAACTTGAGATCTTGTCTCAAAAAAGGATTGGGGGATATAGTTTAGTGGCAGGACGTTGTTTAGTCTATATGAAGGCCTAGGTTTGACCATTTGTATAAAAAAAAATATTCAAAGTTAAGCCAAGTGTAGCCCTTCGGGGGCCAGGTGATGCTGCTGTGTGTGACCACAGGAAAGTTGTGGCTCCTGGCAAAACAGATCTGTGCAGAAGCAGTTATGTCATTCAATGACCGTGTGTCTCTGGCTTCTAAGGATGCATCTCCTGCCACACCTCTCAGTCTGCAGACCAGAAACAGTGACTGGCAAGCACACCCCTGCCCTCATACTGAACTAAGACTTATCCTAACAGCAGTCTTCACACAGAGAAGACTCCTCTAAGTGGGCAGCCCCAAACTAAGTGACATTTTCTACCCTGAAGTTTGAAAACATGGCCTTTGCTGAGCATCCAGCCACACACTTGCTGCAGCATGGTTGGATGCAGTGCTTGGGGAGTTCCTCATAGGTGCTCCTCTAGTGAGTGGTCCCTCCTGATGAGTAAGCAACTGAGCCCTCATCACCTGGCTTCAGGGAGAGGCTTTCCTGGTATCCTTTTATTCAGGCCTCCTGGATCTAAGTGGTCAGACCATGCTTCGACCTCTAAGCAGGTCTGAGCTCACTCCCAATCCCCAAAGGAGCCCAGAAGTTCTTGCCTTGCCTCTGCTCAGGTTATGTGCTCTCCCCAGGAGTGGCCGCTCCTTGGACATAGCACATGTGGCCACATTTATAGAGAGAGGAGAGGGCACACTCACAACACACACCGTGTATATAAGAAGGAAGAAAGGAAAGAATATAGAGCCATAGTAAACTATGAATAGAGATGTCTGGGAAGCTATCCTGGCTGGCGCGAACCAGGAGAACCAGTCAGCAGCTCACATGAGCCTACTGGCACGCATGGGCTGAGAATCAAACATCCCATTTCCCCCCTTAGCAACTGGGGACAGAGGTCTGAGCATCTATTGAGAGAATGACCATATGCAATATAGCAAGTATGGAGGATTTTCTTCTATCTTGTTTGAAGGCAAATGTTTTCACTTTTATTTTGTTATGATTGTTTTGCTCTATTCAATATTCTCTTTTGATTGGTTTTATAGTGTTCTGTTTTTGGTTTGATTTCACTATATCTAATTGATTGGACGACTCGCTTGCCAGGCAGGCGCTTTAGGCCAATGAGCTAAATCCCCAGCACGGTACCTATTACTGTTATCCCAGTATCCTGCTGTGAAGTTCTTACCAGTTTCACTGCATTGTCTCAGTTGGCTTTGTCTGCCTTGTTCTATTGTATTTTCACTATCTTCAAAATTTAAAAAAAAAACTATGAATATATTCAAAAAGGTTGACACTAGGTATGATAGCACGTTTGTAATCTCATGAGGCTGAGGCAGGAGGATCAAAAATTCCAGCCTAGCCTGGGCAATTCTGCAAGACTCTGTCTCAAAATAATTTTTTAGGGGCTGGGGATTTAGCTCAGCAGCATAAGTGCCTGCCTTGCAAGCAGGCAGTGGTGAGTTCGATCCCTGGTACCAATAAAAAAAACGAAAAAGACAAAAATAATAATTTTTTTAAAATGGTCTGAGGATGTAGCTCAGTGCAAACATTCTAGGTTCAGTATGCACTACTACAAAAAAAAAAAGGTTGAGGCAAGAGGAAGCTTTTAAAAGCAAAACAAGAGGATTAGATAAAATGTTTTGAAACAATAATTGTTGGTCACAAGGATTAATAACAAATCTGACATTAGAGAGGTTGAACAACTGTTGGACAGCTGTCCTTACAGAAGTATTTTTGGTATAAAGTAAGGTTTTGATGAACTTTGTGCAGTTGTGGCTCTGGCAATCTTGTGTGATAATTACTAGCTGGGGTAATCATTTGTGAAAACCTTACTGTAGGAACCCAAAAGGGGAAAGAGGTCTGCTTGGTGGAGGTGTTGGCCTCCCATGCAGTTGCAAGTAATATATTGGGTTCCACTGAGTCTGGGCCAGGGGCCCAGGAGGAATGGAGAGGACACCCTTACCTGTTACTGAAGGGCCTTGGGCCAAGGGCAAAGCAGGCAAACACTTCCACTTGGAAGTTCCAGGTCAGCCCCATCCTGGGTGCCTCCCTGCAGGGCTGTGTAGGCTTGAGCAACATCTGGTGGACCCGAGTCTTCCCTGTGGACCCATGTCCATTGGTTCTGAGCAAGGACTAAGGCCAAGATTCTGATAGCTTTTGTTAAAGGGGGTGGGGAAAAAAAGGAAGGTCTGGAAGTTTGTCCCTTCCCTCCAGAATACCTGATGTGGTTTGAACATGTTCCCCAAGATTTCATGTGTTAGAAACCTAATCCTACTCAGGATAAACTAGAGTCACTTATAGAAAAATGACGTACCTTGAGACCATAATGCTAAGCAAAATAAATCAGAGACAGAAGCACTTGGGAGGCTGAACAAGGAGGCTTACTGCCAGTTTGAGGCCAGCCCAGGACACAAATTGAATTCAAAGTGAGCCTGAACTACATCTCAAGAAACCAAAACAACAAATTAAAACAAGGGAAGGCACTCTGCAGAGGGAAGCCTGGCAGACAGCTGCCCTGGCCAAGAGGTCAAATTGATAATATCTAGAATAGACAAATGGGCCTTGCATGGCTCCCAAGATGATGCCAAGGACAGCAGCATTTACATGCTGTCCTGCAACCAACACAAGCAGCGGTATCGCACGAAAATCAGACCAACCCATATAAGGTACATTCCTCAGCAGATGGCATCTCAGTGGCTGCAAATAGCTGGTGTGACTGGTATACCATCAGCTGGCTCTGGTATCAGGCCTGGGTTGGACCTTGGAGAGTAGGGAGGCAGCCTATCACTATGCACAGAAGATGACAGCTGGCAGGTAAGCCCCAAGGTAGGGCCACATAGAGCAGTGGGCTGAACTGAGGGACAGGATGCTTACCTGGTGAGAACTCCAGGAGGAGGGGTGAAGGGGAAGGGACAGGCAGCTAGATGAGTAGGGGTGGCAAAACAGCAAAGAGGTGTGCAGGCAAGATGTGTGGCAGCTCATGTGTGACTTAGCTCCAGTTTTTGATTGTTATGAAGCCCAGGTCAGAAGTCTCTGCACTTGGGGCTAGGAGCTAGACATGGTATCCAACTGGAAGGCAGCCCTCAGCAATGCAGGTGTCAGGCTACTGTCAGCAGACTCTGAGTGGGCACAGTTCCACAAGAGGCTCTTTGGTGCTTTCCAGCCATACTCCACTGGGGAGAGACCAAGGCCAAGGAGCTGCTCATGGACCTCTCTGGTTTCTACCTCCTCTCCATAAGCAGGACTGCAGGTAGGAGGCCCCTAGGGCTCCTGGAGGCTGCAGGATAGGTAAAGTCAGCTCAGTTCAGGGAGTTCTTTGCCCTTATGGAGTCAAAATACATACTAGAACCAAGGATGGCTTACCCTCTGCCTTGCTAAGCACCCCTGTCCCAGATGGTAGCCCTGTATGCTAGGTGAGGCTGTGAGGAGCCATCTACTTGGGCTACGATTTAAAGAGCATGTACACACACACACACACAAAAAAAAAAAAAAAAGAGCATGTACACACTCCCCACTTACCAGCACTGTGCACAGGTGTTCAAACAGGAAGCAGGGCATAGCAATCACCTCAGAGCAAACCTTAGTACTGTATACATGGCAATGACAAAGGCCAAACTAGTACTCCAAACACATGTGAAGTTTTATTATAACAAAAGAAGAAGGTAGGTCAGGACCCATCCCAGCTGACATCCTTCACTGGGTGCTTTAAAATTGATGTGGCCTGAAGCAGAGGTGTGGGCAGCAGAGAAGCCAAGGTGGACAGTCCTGAGTGCCCCAAAGATGGGCAGGGCTTGCTGCCCCCTCCTGGGCCCTCAATCACTGCCTGCTGACTGACAACCAGGTAGAAAGCCATGACCACCTTCTCAGGGACACGCATACTATGGGAGAACTGTGGGTCCTCCAGCTACTCACCAGGGAGCCCCAGTAGACAAGCCCTGCTCAATTCAGGGTGTATGGCCTCTGGTTCCCTGGGATTGGGTGTCAAGAGCTGCTCCAACACCTCCCCACCAGAGGTAGGGGACATTCTGCTACAGCAACTGGAAGATACCAATAACCCAGGAGTGCATCCCAAAAGGCATCCCTCCACCTACCACTAGGGGACAGCCACAGGGACCTGCCAGCACACTTGAGGCAAACCTGAGGGTTTCTGGGGATAGGGCAGAGTGTGGTAACCACAGCAGATCAGAGGCAGGTCCCAAGGCCAATGGTGCTAGAGAGAGATGGAGTGTGGCAGTAGGTTGCCTGGCTTGCCCTGATCAGGCCCCAGAATCAGGATGGGAACTTGATACAAAGCCTGCCCACTCAGGTGCACATGGAGCCCAGTCTCAAGGTTGATGAACTCTGGCTGAGGTGTGACAATGGGCCATGCAGTGGTACTAGGAAGGCTACAGCCAGGGACCTCAGTCCTGCTTGTCCCCTCTCTGCTTCCAGGGGTAGATAAGCTCTCCAAAAAACAGCTTACGGCACAGGGAGCCCCAAGAGTACTTGGGGTGGCAGCCACAACTTGGTAGTCGATAGGTGCGTACCACACTGCTGTAGGGCAGAGGGTTTATCTGGAAGGACAGAATGGCAGTCAGCATGGTGATCAGGATGCTACAGCATGTCTGCAGAGAAAGGGCTAGGCTGCAGTCACTATGAACCTAGCTGGTCTTCTGGGAGGTCCCTGGGCTGAGAAACTGTGGGGCAGGGCCAGCCAGCCCAGACATGCCCTTGCCCATGACACAGCTAGCCAAACTCGGGGGGGGGGCACGTGAGGTGGGGTGGGAGCACCAGGTCCCTTAAGGATCGATATGCTTCTGTCTAGGATTCATTCAGCTCCCAGGAACCTCCTGAGTAGGAGAAGATCACAGAGCCCCTGGCTACCTTGACATCCAAGGCCTGATAGACTTGGCCCAAGAGGTAACCTGCAACCTGCTAAGGTATCCAAAGTCTTGTCCTGCTCCTTCCCAAAGGGACCAAGCACCCAAGATTGTTTAAAATGGAGTGGAACAGTCTGGGCCCAGTAGGAAATGCCTAGTGTCTTCTTTGCAAGTTGATTCTGTTTCACCAGGAACTTAAGCCCTATGGGGCCTAGGGCAGGAGGTTGAGACTTAGGGTAAAGTAGGTAGCCCAGGGTATCTAATTTGTGGTAAAAGAACACTGTCCATAGATTGGGCTAGACCTCAGCCAAACAAACCACCATGAGTGATCAGGAACATAGCTCAGCAGCACAGTGCTTGCCTAGCAAGCATGAGGTTGTGAGTTTGATTCCAGGTACCAAACAAAATAAAACAAAACAAAACATCAGCATGAGCACTAAGGCCCTGCAGGGGGCTCCAGGCATAATGGGTCATGGTGCCCAGAACCCTGGGAGCTTCCTCTGTGGAGTCTGCTCTTGAGCTTCACTGGGCCCCCTTTCTGCACCTGGCCCCAGACTGATATGTGCCTGCATCCCACACCAACTGACCCCAGATGTCCCCAAACACAGGCAGAGCAGTGGAAGGGGCTCCCACTCCAGGTATCAGTGAGGGGCATGAGAGGTCTCACCTGCATCAGGAGGCGGAGAGGCCTGCCTGCCTCGTGCTCTAGGATACGGAACTTCACGCCAGCTGCAAGAAGAGCAAGATAATGAAGGGGAGGGTGGCAGCCTTACTCAGTACTCACAGAGCCCTGCAGACAGCCCTTATTGTTGTGCTGCCAGTTAGCAGAGGGTGGTGTGGGCAGCAACTTCTGGCAGCAAAGGTCCCTTTCTCTGTAGCACCCAGGTGGTGGCAGGCCTGCCTGAGCATGCAGCAATCTCTGCCCCGTCCTTTCCATCTGCTTCGCTTGAGCTGGCTGCCTGGGCAACATCATGGCCTCTACAGCTCTGCAGCTCTGTGGAAATAGCTCTGTGCAAAAGTTCTTGATTCAACTGCCACTACAAGAAGGAAGGGAGGGAAGGAAGGAAAAGGAGTTGGGGTGTTCAGAAAAAGAGGAAACCTTGGTTCAAAGCTGAAAAACACATTCATATCCTATGGCTAGAGCTGGCTGAGAGAGGCACCTCAGCATGGGCATGGTCACCTTAGAATGGGTGCTAGACAGTGTTGTGCCAGGAAATTCTCAGGTCTCTTGCTGTGTCCTATCTTCTGAGCCAGAGGAGCTAACAAGCAGGGGCTTCATACCAAGCAACTTCCCCAGTCTTTTAAAAATTTTTATTTTGAGACAAAGTCTTGCTAAGTTGCCTGGACTGTACTCAAAGCCCCTGACCAGCAGGAACAGCCTCCCCTCAGGAACCAGTTTCAAACTGGTATCAGAGCACCCATGGGGGCAGCCTGCAGCAGGGATAGTAGGGAGATAGCTGGGGTAGGGGATGCCAATGATAAATAGTGCAGGACATTCCTGTCATAAAAGTCTAACCAGCCTGGTGAACCTCACCTAGCCTGCCCTCCAAGGCTAAGGTAGCCACATGGCTAACATAACCCATGTGAAGATGAACCTTCTCTGAGTCCTAGTCAGACAATACATAAGCTACAGTGGACAGATATATAACAAATCAGAGACATTACAGGAAGGGTACAACAAGAGCTGCCTTGACCCATAGCCTCAAGAAGTCCTTGACTCTGCCTTATGAGAGTCACCTGAGCCAGGAAGCTCTGCCTTCTCCAACCACCCATGCCACATCCCACTGCCTCCAGGCAGGTGACCAGTATAGCAGGCACTTCTGCAGGATCCAGTGTATATATGTTCCTACCTGCCAGGGGGCTGGCCGCCAAGCTTGCAGCACTTACCGGCAAGTCTGTAGGGCCGACAGAGTCGAAGGCCAAGTGAGTATAGAGGCAGGGAGTTGATGAGGTCCACAAGCAGATGGATCAAGCCCTGCACAGTAACCACCAGGAGCCGGAGCTGCAGCAGAGGCAATACTCAGGACCTCTGAACCAAGGCTGTGACCAAATCCTTGCTGAACATGCTTGCAAAGACAGCAGCTTGATGGGATCCTGGGCCATGGCCAAGGATGACCAGGGGTCATGGGCCCTGGGGAAAGCATGGAGAAGAGCAGAGAGCCTACCCTTGGTCCAGCTACCAAGAAGGCAGGGGGGAGATAATCAGCCCTCCCACCAGGTCAAAGACCATGAATCCCAAAGCCCTATATGCTGACACTGTTTACTTCCCACTCTCCACACTGCAGCACCCAGGACCTCCATGATCCTGCTGCCTACACTGCCCACCAAAGGTTCTGCTGGCCCTTGTACCCAGCCAAGTGCCCAAGGTAGGACTCCCCCAACCCATTCTAAGGCCCAATATATCCTGCCCAAAGTCCAAAATGGCCATGCTAACTTAGCCTGTAGAGGTAAGTGGCCTGGCCCACAGCTGCAGGGCTCCAGATGACGCTGGCAGTGACTACTTCAAGTACTGAAGGGCCTGGGACATGAATTTGTAGCTCACCAGGGTGAATACTAGGTAGTACAAGGCTGTGGTGGGTAGGAGAAAGACGAGGATGGTGAAGAGCAAGGTCCCAATGAAGAGCTGTGGGGAGAAGTGGTGGCACACCTGGTAACTTAAGGCTCTAGTGAGAGTGGCCCCTCTAGCAATGGCTAAACCCACTGCCCACCACAACACAGCCTGCTACTTTAGTTGGGACCTCTTGGTATCCAAGTAAACTCAGGAAAGCCTGCTCAGGCAAGTTTCCTAGTACCATAAGGGGTGCTCCTATGGGACTACTAGGCCTGTGGGGAGACCAGCCAGTGCAGTACATGGCCACAGACAGTATCAAAAGAAAGCTCTCTTGTGTCAGGTATGAGCAAACCAATGTACCAAACTAAAAAAGTTAGGACATGGGGCCTCAGGCCATGTGTCATAGAAGCAAGGTCTTCTATGGCTAGAGGAAAGTCTCTGTGTACCCCCCCCCCCCAGGCAAAGAGCAGTGGGTCAGCTACAGCACCTGGTCCAGGTCATAAGAACAGGAATCCACCCGCTGACGCAGCACATTCCACTTCTTCCCCCGGAACAGACGCCAGAGAGAAGATAGGCCACAGATCTTCAGGCAGTATAGCCTGCAGACATGGGCACCATAAGAACTATGCGTGGGCCTGAAGAGGGGATCCTTGGCTGGGCAAATTTGGAACACTCACTCATACCCCACCAGAGCCCATAATGCCCTGAGCCCAAAGTTTGCACACAGGACACACATGCTCACCGGGCACCGTAGACATAGAAGCAGTAGATGTGGAAGGTGAGGAGAGCAAGAATGTCCGACAGGATAGACAGGGCAACCGTCAGTCCCAGGCAGGCTGAGAGGCCCACATGCCACAGGATACGCTCGATGAAGGGAGACATGAGGTGGATATAGCCTGGTGGGACAGGGGTCAGCCCTGAGGAGTACAACTAAGGGTCCTGTGGCTCCCAGTTCCTTGCTAAACATGTTACTTGATGTTTATGAAACCACAAGCACATAAGCCACACCACTGACCCTGATGTTTGGCAAGGCATCTAGCCAAGCATGATGGCATGGGAGGTTAGGAAATGGAGCAGAAGGGACCAGTGGGGCCTTGCCACCCTTCTCAGTTGGGGCCTGGGTCCCTGGGGTGTGAAGCCCTGCCAACCCTCCAACCCCTATCAGGCACTCACTGATCCACAAGTGAATATGGTACAGGAAGAAGCGGCCCAGCACCTGGTCCAATGCCCGGTTCATTTTGAGTCCAGCAGGAGCACCCATCAGCCATTGCAGCAGATGCTGAAGCTCCTCAGCCACATGCTGCAGGAACATGGCAAGAGAAGGGATGGTGATGGTATTACTGTTATTGGAGGGATGGGCAGTCAGAATCAACATCAGCACCTCCTGAGATTTTTGTGATAGGCTTCCACCTTGGTTAGCCTGCCTAAGAAGGGCAAAGGCAGTCTATACTTCCTTCCTCCCAAGATCCAGATCCCCATATCCATGGATGGGCAGTTTCCCAAATTTGCCCAGTCAAGGAACCACCCTTTAGGCCCAAGCACAAAAACCTTGGCAGCTGACAGCTCCCCCTGGCTTCTTGGGCAGGTCCCTCCCACCTCACCCCTTTACCTCTGGACTCCAAAGGCCTCAGTGCCAAACCTGGACATGGCCAAGGCTGGACAGACCTGGCTTACCTCAAGCCCTACAAGGGAACTGTGGATCAAATATCCTATACCACCATCTATCACCACTTGGGCTACCCAGGGTATGTGACCTTGTGTGAGTAAGAGGACATCAACCCATCAGGGCCCAGAGCAACAGGCCGCAGCAATGGAGGACATGAGGCCCCAGAGGAAAGAAGAGGATCAAGTGAGGGCAAGAGACAGCACAATAACTTTGAGAAAAAGTAGCAAAGCCAGGTTCTGCTATCCAGGAGGACAATCAGTGTCTAGGTGCTGTAATGGCCACAGGAACCCTGGCTTTCCTTGCTGAGGCAAGGCTATAGGCAACACCTCTGTGCCCCAACCTAAAGGCCTCTCTTGATCTTGTGCTAAGACCTTGGCCATGTCAAGACTAGCAAGAAGGAAAGAGCATTCTTTATAAATAGAGCTTATTTATTATTTAAAGGATAAAAGCTTGGCAGCAGGGAGAGACTTTCATTTTCAATTAAATATTTATATTTTGAGCAACTTGACAGAAGGGATGTCTAGGACAAAGTTGGTTAAAAAGCAGAGTGTGGAAATACCTATGCCTCTCCCTACCCCAACCCCTCCTTCCTCCTAGATTGGCCTTGAGTCCCTATAGCTAACATGGAGCTGAAAGGCACTGGCTCCAACCCCCTAGAGTCCTGACCTGGCTATAAGCAGGCCCAGTGCACACCTACAGCCTGGACAAGGACAGGGCAGAGGCTGCACCCACAAGAAAGCCCCAAGAGGCCAAAAGGTAGGCAAAGGGCCAGAGGGAGCACCCTAAGCAAGAAGACATGTTCCTAATGGGAGAGACAATACTTTGGGTCAAGCAGCATGTAAACATAGGAGGTAGACAAGGACAGAAGAGGAGGGAAGTCCTTGCCCCTCACCAGGACATGCTGGTAAAGTTAGGAGCACACAAGACATTCCAGCACCTCTAGCTGTCAGCATGGGAATTATGTAACCAATGCCGGGCAGTATGACATGCCTTGGCAGACAGCCTTGAGTGGAAAGGTTTCCTGATGCTAATTTTGAAAGCACAGAGTCCAAAAGAGAAAACTGATCACAGGAGTAGGGGATCAATGGACAACCGCAATTTTGGGTCTGGATCTTCCTAAGAGCTTTAACCATAAGTATCCCCTGACAGGCCCCGTATGGTGATGTACACTTATAATCCTAGCACTTGGAAGGCTGAGGCAGGAGGATTACCAAGAGTTTGATGCCAGACTAACTTCACAGCCAGTCTACATAGTGAGATCCTATCTCAAAGAAAAGAAACAACAAAGCAAAAACCAAAACAAAACCATAAAAACAAGTGTCCTCAGACATATTCCTCTTCAGGAGGACAAGCAGGCACTTGCCAAGTGCTGTCCTGAGAGACACCAGTCCCAACAGTCCTCTACTCAGTGTCAAGGACAAGGGCTGTATCTGTAGGGTGAGGAGAGGGAAAAATTACTTCAGCTGACTTAAGGGATTCAGGTAGCTGAAGGAGAGGTCCCCCCTCAGGAAACCCCCGTATACTCACATCAGCCATGGGGATGAGGGCATCAGCCAACTGCCCAATCCGGTTATTGCTGTGAAGCCAGGACAGCAGAGTGAGGCCAAGGGCCACATCCAGGAGCATGGAGACTAGCATGTTGGCCTTTCTAGAAAAAAGGTCAGTAGCAGCCTAAGGATACTTAAGGAGGTAGGTACAGAGCAGGGGTAGGGAAGGGACTGGGCCCAGGTTGTTCTACTCTGTAAAGGAGCCACTGGCCATACCTCATCAACTGAGCAGGGCTCTGAGCCTTCTGAGTACTGAAGACAAGTGTGAGGTGCTCAAGCCGGTGATGGAGCTGCTCACAAGTGGAGAGCTTGCTGGCAATGAAGGGCAAAGGCCACAACTTCCACAGCCTGCAGGAGAGCATGAGCATTCATCAAGAGTTCCATCGGGGTTTTCCTTTCTAATGATGCATGCAAATGCAGGTGCAGAGAGGAAAGGCCAGAATCCAGTGGCTCCTGCAGAACTCAGCAGGGCTGGTGGCACCTCCAGGGCCCAGCCATGCTGAGCTCACCTTAATACAGCACCTGATCTCCTCACAAACCTCTGACCTCAATATACCTTAGTCTCCCAGTCATCCCAAATCTGAGATCAGTACAGTCACAAAAGTGGGAATCAGGTGGGCTGCCTATCTAGGACCTTGCTTTGCCTGCCAGATGGGGCCCAGGAGCCATGCTGAAGGTTTCCAGAACTAATCCAGCTTCCCAGTGAGACTAAGTTTCTCACTGTTGTAGCTTGGCATAACTGATGCCATCTTGAGCCCTGCATTTAACTAGTGCCCTATATTTGACCCAAAAAAATAAAAAATTACTCGGTACAAGTCCCATAAAAAAAGCAAAATGAGCTGTACCCACAAGAGAAAAATTAACTCGCTCAACAAAAGAAGCAAGATACAGGTGTCAACCAAAAAGTAATGTAAGATTCTAGCTAAATTGTTTCCAACAGGAAACAATTATTTGTGGTTCTCAGTTTTAAAAGCTCTATAACTTTCCAGTTTGGGTCACTCAGTGAGATTCTAAAACAAGGGTCCATGCTATTGGTCACTGACCTCAGCTAATTAAATTCCAAATTTACAATTTGGCTGCTTAGATTCTTACATTGTTTACAAACCCACTTCACTCACAAGGAAAAGGGAGCGTGGAAAAACTTTCACAGGCTCTCACATGTTAAAGGGAGAAGTCTGCAAGCAGAGGTAAAAGTGCCTGATGGCAACTCAACTGCATGCCCTCAGGTGGAGTTAGGAAGCAGCATCAGGCCAAGGGCCACATCCAGGAGCACATCCATGTTGGCCTTCCTGTAAAGAGGATCAGACAGGAGCCCATACCCCCTTCCAAAGCTCCTGATGCAAGGAAGGGCCCAAAGCACACCTAGAAAGTGCAGAGCTGCAACAAATCACATATCTAGAACCTGGAGAGATAGGAGGTCAAAGGTCTCTTTCTCAAGGAAGCAGTCTGAGACAAAAAAATGAAACAAGTTCCACCCTTCCTAACTGGCAAACAGGTGACCTCCTGCTGGCTACACAGAGACCTCACTAGTGTGATAATTTCTCGGGGGCTGTGGGTAAGCCTTGCATGGCTCAGGTCCTGACAATAATCCCAGGAGATACTTGGAAGAGGCACAAAGCTATGAAGGTTAGAGAGGCTTCACTCCCACAGTAACAGCCATGGCTCACGACCTGAGTGTCAGTGCCTATAATCACCAGTCAACAGCTAACATTTATTTGATGGGCTAATTAATACCTGGTACTCAATAGCAGCTCCAAACCCTTTCTTGGGTCCTTTGGCAAGACAATAAAAACTAAGGAACTGTACCTCAACACAGATACATCTAGTTAATTTCCAGGCTGTCATGAAGCCCCAAAGTGCATTCTTCACAAGATCCCCAATAACTCCCACATCTAAGGCATGTCCCCACAGAGCCACCGAGCCCTGGTAAGTGGGAAAGGCCAGTCTCCACACCTGTGTTGAGTCCCTGGATCAAAGGCAAAGGAGCAATCAAGGGTAAACCACAGCCGCTCCCTATGGGGTGACAGTCCCAGGGAAATGTCTTCTTAGGGAGAGAGGGAGGAAGGGGCTCCTAGGTTCTCTGCTCATAAGCCAGCAAACTCAGGGCCCTCAAGAGCTTTCACAAAATCATGGGCTGAGCCAGTGGGCCAGGAGCCTTGCTGGTGGTTCTGAAGAATGTGAAGTTGGGAACCACAACCCCAGGCCAATAGTGAGGGAATATCACCCTACAGCCTCAAGGAAGCTCTACCACTAGGGAGAGCTGTGGTGCCCAGAGGTCTGCTGTGTGGAGAGGTGGGGGCACAGGGAAGCAGGCAGGCCTATATGAGCTCTAGGCCAAAAAATTCCCAGATTTAAGGGACCTGAATCATCCACAGTTCACTCCATCCTCTTATCTGGTGGACTACAAATAGTCACTGAAGCTGCTGGAAACACTAGCTCTACTCCAGGAGCAACAGAATCGAAAACTGCAACTACTACTGGAATATACTCTGAGACGTCAGAGGAGGAAAGGTAAGACCAGTGCCAGGGCCTGTGGGGTTGCTGTTAGCCTCAGGAACCACCCATACGGGCTTCCATGTCCCTGTACACTGACGGGCAAGTCTATGACTCTCAGGGGCCCACGGTCTGCCCCTCCCTTCATGGCCCCAGTGGCACCTACCGGCAGGCACTTGCAGCTGAGACCAGTGACAGCAGGCAGGTCACTAGCAGGCAGACAGGCCCTGAAGCTTGCTTCGCCAGCTCCATAAAGATGCTGGCCTCCACACCTTCTGATTGCCAGTGGCTCAGCCTCACGGGGCCTTCATCGAACTGGTCTTTGCAGAATAGCACCTCACTGCGTGAAACTGTGTCAAAGATGGCAGCCAGGCCCTCTGAACTGGCTGTTGCATCTCTAGCCTGGCCATCAGGCAGGATTGTGGGTGGATGCAGGTAGGACAGGAGTACTTTACGCTGGTCATAGAAGATAAGAATGACATGATCCTCCCTGGAGACACCAGCGATGCCAGGCCCTTGGTGGTGGGTAGCCTTGCAGCTCCAGAACTTGCTGCCCCTTTCCCGGCACAGTTGTAGCCAAGGGTTGTGGGAGAAGATGGTACCCAGACCTTCCAGGAAGTGGCCCAGGCTCTCCTCAGACTCCTGCTGCCGGTGGCACCAGGTCCCCACCACAGCCAAACCCACCTGGCTGGCCTGCTGCACTTGGGCCAGGAGCTCCTTGACCTGGATGGGGATGAAGGGAAAGTGTACCACAGCCAAAACCACGGCACTGTTCTGCTCTGGAACCCAGCGTCCCACCAACAGGCCACTGTCTGCTGAGGTGCAGCATGTAGGAAAGAAGGCCTTGAGCACCATCCCAGCGACCCTGGAAGGGAGGGAAGAGGCAGGTTCAGAGCTCCTGCTGCTTGAAGGCTGGCAAGGCTGTGATCACAGTATGTGACAGGGAGTCCTGATGAATGCATCTGTTGGCCACAGGTTGGGGAGATCCAGTTTTTGGTTTGATTGTTGAGGCTGGTGAGCCTTGGCTGTCCATCTTATATAGGTCCTTCTCCTCCAAGGGCAGAATGAGCAGTGCCCCACAAGGCAGCTGCTGTGAGTGTCTTGGTAGGATGGTGATTCCTCCTATTTTAAGACAACCAGACTGGGGGGTGGGGATTTAGCTCAGCGGCATAAGCACCTGCCTTACAAGTAGGCGGTCGTGAGTTTGATCCCCGGTACCGATAAAAATGAAAAAGACAAAAAAAAAAAAAAAAAAAGACAACCAGATTGAAACAGTGCAAGGTGACATATCCTGAGAGACATCACCTGACGAAGGTTTGTGGGACTAAGCACATAGCTGTTTTGTTTGGTAGTAGGGACTGACCCTCACACATGCTAGACAAGTGTTCTACCACTGACCTATATCCCTGACTTTTTATTTTGAGATGGTATCCCTCTAAATTGCCCAGACTGGCCTGGAACTTTTGTTCTTTCTACCTTAGCTTCCTGAGTAACTGGGACTACAGATGTGTACCATTATAAGTTGGTGGGGTTTGTTGTTGTTGTTATTGTTTTGTCTTTTTGAGACAGGGTCTTGCTATGTAGGCTGGTCTAAAATTGGCAACAATCCTCCTGCCTCAGCCTTTTGAGTGCGGGGATTATAGGTATACGCCACTATACCAGCTAGCACAAGTTGTGTGTGTGTGTGTGTGTGTGATGTATTTAAGCAGGGTCTCACTATGCAGCTCAGGCTGATCTTGAGCTTACATTGCAGTCCAGGCTGGTCTCAAACTTGCAAAGATTCTCCTGCCTCAGCTTCTTAAGTGCTGGTTTTACAGGTATGCGTCACCACACCCAGCTAGCACAAGTTTTTAAAGAGCTCTGATTACAGAAGTTTGTGTCATACATTGAAGTATCTAGTCTCAACAAAATAGCACAAATTATAATTTTAACCAGAATTTACAGATTATATGCTTGTAACAGTTGGTACATTGTTTACAGTTGAGAAGTTTAGAAAATTAAACCACTCAGCAGGTGGCTAAGGTCCTCATTTTGCTTGCTCTTCTCCCCTTTCTGCTCCTGTTGCTTTTGCTGTCTTCCAAGCTAGGCCTTGAAGTGTTGCCTCTGTGCCATATCACCCTACCTTAGAGCCAGCTGATTACAGACTGAAACCTCCACAAACTGTGAACTAAATAAATCTTTACTTCCTTAATTTTGGGTATCAGGTATTTTGTTTGAGCAATGAGAAAAAAGTAACTAAAACAGTTCTTAAGAATATGTGTGTACACACGCGCATGTGTGTGTACATGTGTACACACGCGCGCGCATACACACACACACACACACACACACACACACACACACAAAGAATAAAAACACAAGCCAGGCATGGTGGTGTACTCCTGTAATCCCAGCACTTGGGAGGCTGAATCAAGAGGACTATTGCCCGTTTCAGACCAGCCTGGGCTACAAAGTGAGCCCAAGGCCAGCCTGTACTGCATAAAAAAAAACCCTGTCTCAAAAAGATAAAAACTACATACATATGTACACATTTAAAACAATCTTTTTTTTTTTTTAATCGGTACCAGGGATCGAACTCATGACTGCCTACTTGCAAGGTAGGCGCTTATGCCACTGAGCTAAATCCCCGGCTTAAAACAATCTTTTGGTTCAAAGGAAACCAGAAGAATGTACATACTGGCCACTGTGGGTTCTGGTGCAGCACCCCAGAAGGTAACTGGGGAAAAGCCAAGAGCCTGGACTTCTCCCTTCCTGAAGGAACTTCCTCCTCCACAGCAGGAAGGGCATCCACCTGTCACTGTAATCAGGAAATAAGCTCAACTATCATGAGTTTCTGCCCTCACTGTGACACTCATTCTACCTGCAGTGCCTCTGGGACCCCCAACAGCCATTTAGGAAAGGGCTTCAAGATGGGGAGCATTTTCCCTCTTCTAGGATGTATTTCTACAATCACAAAGCCATGCAGACATTGGGTGGGTGGGCATGGGACTTGGAAGTATGAGAAATGCTGTCATGTTCTCAGAGTGAAGTCTCCCACTAACTACCTCATTGTGGCCTTGAACAGCAAGCAAATGCCCAAGTAGCTGTAAGCACTAAATTCTGCAGGGCCCTGAGCCTTATCTTTCTCAGAAGCAAGCAGGCTGAGGATTATGTGTTTTGTTTCAGGTACGCCCTACTGAGTTGGGCAGGTTTTCTCTTTCTTCTACCCTGTAACAGGCCAACAGGAAGAACAACTTTGCTTGCAAGGTGTAGATGCCCACATTTATCTTCTTTGCCTCCATGAAGAACACAGCAGTCACCCAAGAAAAGTCCCCCAAGATGGAACACACCTCAGAGGGGAGGACACAAGTCTTGGTCTGAGCCTGGGAACTCAAGTCCAGTGTTCACCAGCCCCTTAGGGACAGACAGGGACACAGGTTGGGAAGGGACCTGATACAGACACAAATGCCAGAAGCTTAAGAGACCAGTGCCAGTAGTCCTATTTTCCTGCTGGTAGGCCAGACCAGTGGCTGGAAGGCCTAGGCCAGTGATGGTGAATCTTTTTGAGCTTGCAATGATACAAACAGCCTGTTGCATGTTGTAGGTTCATCAGCTTGGGAAGGAGGAGATTTCACAGCTATGAGTTCCAATTGTAAAGGCCAGCCACGAGTCAAGCTACTCCCAACTGCACCTTCCCCATAATGACCACAGAGGGTAGGCAACTGGTGAATGCCCACAAAGGAAAGCTTGATGCCCCAATTTTTCTTCCTGTCCCTTCTTCAGGGCTTCCCTCCAGAGGGTCATGAGGCACTTAGGGGCACTGTAGAAGGGGCAGAACAATTCATCTGTGGAGATATCAACATGTTTAGCTAGGTACTGCTACAAGAGACCACCCAGCACACGCCAAGCCTTTCAGCATCAGCCCTTCAGGACACACCAGCTCAGTAAAGACACTCTCATACCCTGTTGGTGAATACCTTTTCACAGGAACCAAGAAAAACATCATGACTATTATCTGAAGAGAAACATTCTGATCTAATAATAAACATGTTCTGTGGAGAGGAGTTGGTTATTTGGCTAAATTCAGCAATTGTACACACGCTATTTGTGTGCTTGCTTTGTGTGTAATATGCTTTATCTACAAAGCTTAAAAGCAAAACAAAACAAGAAGCTTCTCATGTCTAAGAAACGATTTGGAGGCAAGATGTTGATGTTAGAGGATGAGTGGTGGTGAGAGACTTCAACAGATTAGGAGGCAAATTCTCATCCTCATTCCCACCTCAGCCTCTGGAAGTGACCGAAGTGCAAAAAAGTGCAGCCGCTCACCAGGCTGCAGGGTATCCAGCAGCTAGAAAAAGATGAAACACCAGGCAATCGATAGTAGAGAAGGTGTAAGATGAGAGAAAAGAGGTAGAAACCTGGGTAATGTGACCACCTTTAAAGACGGTGATTAAAAAACGTCCAGAGCCTGGAAAGGAATAAGACAGCTTCCCATAAAACAGCCCTAAAAGGTCAGGCAAAGAGGTCTCCTGACAACCTTACACAGAATTTCAATCAAAGTGCATCGCATAAAGCAGAAGTACTAATCCATCCTCCAGTACATGAATAGGTTTGGGGCCCAATTAGCACAGGCCAGGGACACAGCCTGAAATCCCCCTCTGTGAAGCCTCAGAAAGTTTCATTTTTACCCTATGTTGTTTGTTTAAACATGCACACGCGCGCGTGCAACTTTCTTTCCTTCTGTAAACAGTGCTTTTCTCTCTCATTTCAGAAGGGTGGAAGTGAGGCCATTTCTGCCCTTTTCTGTGGTCAAGGACAAGTGCCCGGAACAAGCCAGTCCCACAGACACCCGTGACGTTGTAAGGGTCCAGGTGGGCTCAGGGTGGGCAGGTCATAGAAACCCGCCAGGTTGCCTTAGCCTCAGGGTGGCGGGACGACCCCACTTTGCAGGCAAGGAAAACAGACCCCAAAGGCCAGAGACTGGCGCGGCCGCAGAGACTGGATAACCCACCTCATCCTCACTGAGAACTCCGGCCGCTCCCCCACGCCAGCCCATCCCCGTGCTCACCGACTGGTCCGCCAGGCTGCGTCTCCGGAGGAGGGTGAGGGATTGGGATTCAGCACCGTGTTAAGCGATCCTGGGCGGACTAAAGGTGCTAGGAGCCTCTAGGGTCGCCGCGTCCCCTCTGCAGGACACGAGCTTCATTTCCGCCCGCTCAGAGCGTTGCCGCGCGACGGTCCTACCCTCAAAGACGCCCGGGCTGCCCGCACACCGCTCACCTAGTGTTCCGTACGCGCAGAGGCCATTCCCTCCCCCCATCTTTGCAGAACTACTAGATTTGTTCCCTTTTCCCAAGGTGAAAAGGCCCTCAGGCCCGGCGTGGGATTTCAGAAGAGCTGGCCCCAGCCCCAACCAGTGCCCTCCCACTTTGTCCGCCCAGGGGCTGGGTCAGACCACTCCAGGGTCCCTGTACTAGGTACTTACACCTGATCTAGGGCTGATGGGTACTATTGGGGAGGTCACACACAGAGCCTGGACCCTGCTGAAGGAAAAAAACGTCCCCACAGTGAGGACAGTAACTGACATTTATTGAGCCCTGGAGGCAGGCCCTAATGCATGAAGTTTTTTTGTTTTTTTGTTTTTTAACCTCTGCCCATTTAATCCCCCACCTAGGCCACAACCTAGTGAGAGAACCAAGAATGGCAATGACCTAAAATACACATCCTAATGACCTGGGGCCAGATAAAGGTCACCTCACAACCTGTCGTGGCAAGACTGCTCCCTCCTCTATGAAACTCCTACCTGGGCCCAGATTCACTGAATAACTCCACCCCTACACACACACTGCTTTCAGGTCCCATTTCCCCCATTTAAGAGGGAAGGGCAAGGCTTTTTTTGTTTTGTTTTGTTTTGTTTTGTTTTAATTTTAGCTGCAGGAGTCTGTCATCAGAGACAGGAGGATACCACCCTGAACACTTCCAGCACTCCAACCTTCCCATGACTTTGGAGCTATTTGAACATGTTTGCAAAAGAAAAATTGAAGACTCACACAGTCTTCAAAGTAGTTCCATGTCCCAGGATACCTCCAGACCTGACCCTCTGTTCCGCTTCTCCTTACCTCTGGTGGGCCCAGAAAAGCTGCTGAAGGCTCAGAAGAGTAGATGCTTCTGAGACTAGGTGACCCTGATGGGCCCCACCCCTGCCCCAAGCCACCCAGCCCAGCCCCACCCTGTGTGCAAGCTTCTGATTAGGAGGCTGGGGCTGGGCCCGGCAGGAGATCTTGCTAGGTATGTGCTGGCTGGCAGCCCATCATGCAAAGGGATGTATAGATCAGCCGCCCGTCCCAGGGCTCAGGCTTCTGGGACCTGAGCCAGTAGAACCAAGGCGCTTGAGTAGACATAGGAACAAAGAACAGAGGGCCAGGGGGCACGATGAGCAGGGATGTGGAAAGGTCCAGCTTTGGAGTACTGAAGGAGAGCCACCTGACTCATAGCTCTCTAAGAGAAAGATACAAGACCACACCAGAGTCAGGTACATTGGGTCTCAGAGTCAGAAGCATGGCCAGGAGCCTCAGAGGAACCACTGATCTCCTGTGGGGTGGTTTATGAGGCTAGAGGCTGACCAGGATAGTGAGGGGTGCTTTCATCAGTGTCCATCAATCAGTCCAGTTCTCCGAGGTACTGGTACACTTTGATGCAGTTGTCTCCAGCATCTGCCACCACGAGCCGGCCTTCAGGTACACAGGCCACACTCAAAGGCCGCTTTAGTCCCTCCAACAGCAGGCAGACGGGTGGCCCAGCCCGGGGAAACAGGATCACCTGGTGCCTCTGCTTATCAGCCACAATGATGTTGCCCTCTGAGTCAGAGCACACACCTGCAGGGTGACCAAAGCTATGACCTGTTAGGGTACCCAGGGAGCCCAGGGGCTGGCAGGCACTGCCAAACAGCCGCACATCCCCAAACTCCTCGCTCACAGCGAGGCCACCTTCAGGCCCTGGACCTACCCAGCAAGGGCCCTCCAGACCCAGCACTGAGGACAGGGCTTGTGGCTCCCAGGTAGGGCCCAACTTGAAGATGTGCACAGCCCCAATCACATAGTCCGCTACCAGGAAGCGGCCAAGGGCATCCACAGCTAGCCCTCGGGGGGATGGAAAAGTCCCCACCATCACCCAATGGCTCTGTGGCTCCCGGGCAGTGTGCTCCAGAGCATGGACAGCTCCATGAACAAGGTCACTGACCACCACAAGCCCTGAAGCTGTCACAGCCACATCCTCTGGAACAAAGGCCCTGGCCCTTGGTGTGTGGCAGGGCAGGTGGCAGATGGATCGTCCCTCCAGGTCCAGCACATAGACGCAGGGTGCTGCCCCAGCCGTCAGGAAAAGCAGGCCATCTGAGGAGCAGTGTAAGCCTCGAGGCCTACCTTCAGCCCCTGCAGGGACCAAGATTTGCCCAAGCAGCCGGGGCTGCTGGGAACAAGTAGGGTCTCCAGTGGAGTCCAGGGTGCAGTGCAGATTCCTGAGAGCAGCTGGCCAGTGTGGGGGGCAAGAGGCCAGAGAATCAGGGACAGGAGACCAAAGAGAAGGCAGGTGGGCAGAGTCACAGTGTTAGCTTCTTTAAAGCTGCAAGAGAAGGGCCAGGGATTTAGCTCAGTGGCATAAGTGCCTGCCTGGCAAGCACAAGGTTGTGTTCAATACCTGGTACAACAAACAAACAAAAAACAGCAAGAGAGATAGAATGAGGCATAGCAATGCATGCCTGTAATTATAGCTATTTAGGAGGCTGAGGCAGGAAGATGGCAAGTTTTGAGACTAGTTAGGCAACTGAGCAAGACCCTGTCTCAAAACACAAAATAAAAACAGTTGGAATCTCTTGCCTATTATGCCTGCCCCTGGACTCAATCCTCAGGGATGGGATGGGGGAGGGAGAGCTAGCAAGCGAGAGAGACTCCTGAGTGTAGGAGCCCCAAGCACATAGTCTGTTACCAAGAAGTTTCTTATATGTGTGTGCCACAATGCCCTGTTCCTGCAAGGTTTTCTAAGCCCCAAATGAGCCCACAGCTATCACAATATCCTGAGTCGGGAGTGAGGAGTGATAGATAAGCACCATCTCTCACACTGTCCACAGGACCTCTTCCCTCTTGGAAGTAGCCTAAGCCCCTACTGGTCATCCTCACACTTGGGAGACTTCTGACTCCTGATGAGTGAAGTGGGGTTCCTTCCCAGGGCTCTCCTCCTGCCCCTTCCAGAGATGCACTGCCAGGGAGTCCCATACCTGGGGCCAGGCTCCCTGCTCCTGCTCTACAACAGTTCTGCTCCAGCTCCACAGCAGTTCTGTTCCTGCTCAACCTCTGTTGTTGGAGACCAGGTCCTGTAGGGGGAGGGGGGCACAGGGCAGGTTGCCTGCAGGGACAAGTCTGTAGGCAGGGGAGGCTACTTCTGTTGTTGGAGACCAGGGCCTGTGCAGGGGAAGTGGGGATGGCTGAGCTGAGAGGGAGGTTTTCCTTGTAGGAATAAGCCGGTGGGACGGGGAACAGTCCAGGTCTGCCCTACTGCAAGAGGAAGGGGGGAGGGGTGGAGGAGCAACCAAAGAAGCGATTTCTTTTCTTGCCTCAGGCTTCAGTAGGCCTCACTCTCCCTGGACATTCTTCCCTCTGGCCCTGCATGGCTGGTTGCCTCTTAGCTAGACCTCTCCTCTCTAGGACACCCACGGACACACGGGGGCAGCCCCAGACCACAGCCCCCAAGCAATGACATTTTGGCGGAGACTTGGGGAATGTGACCTGCTGGCTAGGTCACTCTCTTGCCATCTCCAGCAGGAGGGCAGGTTGGTCCTGTCTACATTCTTGTGAAGCTGGCAATGCAGCTCCCAGCACAAGAAGTCAGGGTACAACACATACCTGGGGTGCCAAAGGATGAGTATGCCTCAGACTCAGGATTTGGGGTTCCTTGAGTACCTTCTGGCTCTCCTACAGCCTCTGGTACCCCTCCAGAAAGCCTCCAGAGGAGACTGCAGAACTGGTATCTGTCAGTCCTAGTCTGTAACCCACAGGATCCTATGCCTGGTCACCCAGTGCCCTGGCTCTGGACATCACCTGTAACGCCTCATGGTGGGGTGGCCAGCTGATGCTATCACCAAGTGACCGCAGTTAATGGGGCAGCTGAAGGTCCTGCTTGGACTGGCCCCAGCCCGGCCAGCCTAGCCCCAACTTGGACATCCAGGTGCAGGCAGGAACAGCGCCTCCTCTGAGGACAACCTCCACTGCGGGGGCCATTCCTGGGTGGGCAAGATGTGGTCCAGCTTCCCAGGAAAAGAAGGTATTAGCTGAGGTTCCAGGACCCTTGGTTCCCCTCCCTAACCACTCCCACCCCCTCCTGTGGAAGGCCAAGCCTGGCCGCATTGGGAAGGAGGCAGCGAGCTGTGAAGGCCACTGATGCCTATCATGGCTGCAGGGGCTGGCAGGGCCTACAGGGGGCCATGCAGGGGGGAGCAGTCTTAAGCTACAGAATGCAGGAGGCACACATAACCAACCACAAGAGAAGCTGGGGCTAGGATGGCCTGGGCAGGTTGGGGGTCAGCAGATACTCAGATCCCTGTCCACCTTTGATGCACCAAAAACCAGGACAAATCATCTGAGCTGCCCCAGAGCACACACATGCCTCTCTTGGCTCTGTCCCCTGCTGATGCCCCCACCACATCCCAGGCCTCAGCCCCAGAGGAGGGCCCTGTCCCAGGCAGAAGTCCAACAGGGAGGCCAAGGGACACTGCCCACCAGAGGCCTAGGCCAGGAACATTTTCTTGGAGTGTACCATTATTCCTGCTGGAAAAGAAAGAAAGGAAGGCAGTCCAGACAGGGTATTTGAAGGTGACTTCCACTTTAATGTTCACAACGGTGATCAATAAATAACCATGACCCAACTATTCCCATGTGGCCCCAGAAACAAGCCTCACCATGGGCTTTGGGGTCTGTCCACATGCATGCTGAGGTTGGAGTGGGGCTGGGATTATGGAGCAGAGTCAGTGCACTAAGGGGCTATGATCAGACCTCAGTACTTGGGGGACTCTGAAGGCCAGGGACATCCTTAGGGGTCTGGGAGCCCCCAGCCCTGATACAGGTCCCCCAGCCACTGCCAGGAATGACAGGCTCCTCAGGGCCCTGGAGAGGCAGGCCAGGGGGTGGGACACTAGAGTCAGCCTCACACTTGGTGGTGTGGGCAGAGAAGGGCTGAGGCGCTGCAGGGCCCAGCATGCTGGGGGTCCCTGAGGGCCCCCTGGCCAGTGTGGGTCCCAGTTCAGGTAGTCCCCAGGCCCCTGCTGTGGCCTCAGGTCCCTTGGTGGCCACTCGTTTCACAGAGAGGTCCAGGGGCATATCTGGTGGCTGTGCTGCTTGTGCCAGGGCCTGGTGAATGGTTAGCAGCTCACGGCGGATCTTACCCAATTGTTCCCGAAGAGGTCGAGGGACCAGGTCTCCAGCTGGGGCCAGCTGCCCCAGGCATTGCTCCACCCTGGCATAGTCACCCAGGGCCCGGGTCAGGTCCTTTCTCACAGGTCCTGGGCTGCCCAGCACCAGGCCCTGTGGCTGCTGGGTGAGGGGGACCTCTAGGCCTGGGGCCTCAGGATCACTCAGCTCCTTGTTTTCAGGCCAGAGCATCAGGGAAGAGCCAGACGACAAGCTGGAGGGTAGAAGGTAGGCTGTAACCCATACAATGCCCACTGCAACACCCCCAACCCCTGCTCCCTGTGTTCTTTGTTGTTGTTTTTCAGACAGGGTGTCACTGTACAGTTCAGGCTGACCTTAAACTCACTATGTAGCCCAGGCTGACCTCAAACTTGCAGTGATCCTCCTGCCTCAGTCTCCTAATTGCTGGGATTACAGGTGTGCACAACCACGCCCAGCTCCCTGTGTCTTTTGCCCAGTCTGTCACATAGAGGGAAAGAGAATGGGGTCTGCCAAGGACAGACAAGCCACTCTCAGTTCCTTTCTATGACCTGGAGCTCTTACTTCCAGTGAGTGAGCTCAGAACAGGGTCCAGCCCCCCATCCAGCCCTGCCTTGACCTCTCTACTCCCAGAACCCAGAGTCCATGACACCCACCTGCTCTGGGAATGGCACTTTGCCAGGTTTGAGGTCTTCTGGAGCCCCAGCCTGCTCCCTGGAGGCAGCCTCCTCTGGTGGTCACTCTGTACAGCTCCCTCAAGATCTCCCTCTTGTCCTGGGTCCCCGGGGGTGCTGTGGACCCAGGCCCCAGCCAGCCCTGGAATGGGCAGCTTCAGCAGCTCAGGAGCCAGAGTCCCATGGGGTCCTTTGGGGGACACAGAAGGCTTGGCCTGGGCTACCCTGCCTGGGGGCAGCCCTACTCTGTGCTCCAGCAGTAGTGGGTAATATAGGCGGGGGGCCAGGGCCTGGCGCTCAGCAGGGTGCTGGGATGGCATGGCAGTAGCTGGGGGCAGCAGGGGGCTGGCTGAGGCTAGGAAGGGCAGATGAGCAGCAGCAGCCAGTGAGGGCCCCAGGTAGGAGAAGAGACCTGGGCTGAGAGGGTAGTTGACACCCAGTAGAGACAGATGGAGGCTGTGGGCTTCAGGGAAGTCGCCTGGAGGAGGAGGCGGGTAGCAGGGGATACTGGTCTCAGGACCTGCTGAGGTCATAGCCCCCACAGCTCCCAGGGTCGTGCTCCTTGGGCCACCCCCCAGCCCTGGCTTCCATGACTCTACCAGGAGCCCAGCAGGACCTGGACCCTTTTGGGAGGCCCTGGTCAAAGGGGGCAGTGGCCCTGGTGACCCTTCAATCCCAGGGTTGGGGACCCCACCACAGTGGTGCTGGGAGAGGTTTTCAGTCACAATATTGGGCACAGAGGGCTGGGTGCCAGGGCCTGGAGGATCCCTGGGGCAGTCAGGAGTGGGCACCCGGGGTCTAGGAGAGGGGGGTGCACGGCGGCATGTCCAGTCAGGGGAGTCCAACAGCAGCGAGAGAGAGTCTTTGCAGAGACTGTACTTCATGTGGTTGTATAGGTGTGATTTCTCTAGGCAGGTGAAGGGGCACTGAAAACACTTGTAGTTGTATGGCTTGCCCCAGGGCCGAGGGATGTAATGTGGTTTCTTGGGCTTCCGTGACCGCACTCTGGCTCCTGTGCCCACACGGCATGATCCTGCTTCTCGAGACATGGCAGGCTGCTAGTGGGCAGGTCCAGGTACCATGGCCACCTGTCGACAGGGGACCACAGTCAGCACCAGGTCTCTTGGGCTCCTTGTCCCCTACATGGGACTCCCCTACTCCAGGGATAAGAGTTCAAGGAGCTCTGTTTGACTCTGCCTGTGACCTTGGCTTCTGCACTGCAGACTCCTTGACCCTGAACTCTTTTCTAGGTACTTTTCAGGTTAGCAAAGAAAAATGCAGAGTTCCTGCTCAAATCTGACCCAAGCACCAGATAATTTTCTAATGTATGTATCTGAAATGTAAATTCACTGGGCATCCTGTATTTACCAGTGACAATGTACAGATTCTTCCCCTGAGGACAGGCTGGCCCACAGGTCACTTCCTTGGATAGTCTCTGTCCAGGTCCTGTCCCTTATGCCATGTAGGTGCCCAGTACCTGATAAGTGACTGAAGAAAGCTGTAAGTGGCCAGGCCCTCTGCCCACCAAGGACTCCCATGCTTGCTGAGCCACCTACCCCCACTGGAGGCCAAGGTGAAAACCAATGAGACAGAAACCAGCAGAGGCTCTGATTGTGTTTGATTAACACTGAGTGTGCGTGTGTATGTATGTTTGTGTGTATTTGTGTGTGTGTGTGTGTGTGTGTGTGTGTGTGTGTGCTTGAGATTGCTCTAGTGTGGTTTCAGGTAGGCATGGGGTCTCGGAGGGGGTTGGCTTCACAGGGAGCCAGCCCAGGCTTGTGGGAGTGGACATCACAGCATGGCCCCATAGCACAGCCACCTGCTCAGCCCAGCTCCATCTGGGTGGCTTCAGGAAGGTCAGCGACCGAGCCTGCAGCAGCATGCTCAGCCAAGACCCTCTCTTTCCCACACCACACCACACGCCAGCTCGGGAGCCGCGCTACACTCCATCTGGGCCACCACCTGGGCTGTCCACTGCCCTGGCACTTGCGCCTACGTGGGGTGCGTGGCATGTGTGCACACAGGCATAAAAGGCTCTCCAGGAGCCCTGGTTCAGCAGCTCAAGAAGAAACCTCCTTGTGGCTGTGCCACCAAGCACAGAGGGACCTGGACATGCATGCCCACACACCCCATAACCAACTCACGTGGACACCACTTCTTGTGCATGACAACACACACATGTACACATGCACACAGCATTCACCCAAGGACACACAGATATGGTTGGAATTCACACAGTCACAGTTGCATCATAGATGTGGACACATGTGCACATAATAAATAGCCAGAGGGTTGAACTAGGGTTGGCTGGGTGGTTGCAGACTTCCTTTATATTCTTATCAATAGTTGGGGCTGGGGGTTTAGCTCAGCGGCATAAGCACCTGCCTTGCAAGCAGGCGGGCGTGAGTTCGATCCCCGGTACCGATAAAAATGAAAAAGACAAAAAAAATATATTCCTACCAATAGTCAATCCAGAGCAGATAGCTGCCTCTACTGCCACTGAACACCAAGTGGGTATCCCTGTCAGAGTGGAGAGGGGCCCTCCAAAGGGTCAGCATGTCCACGCCAAGGTATGAGAGTGGGAGAGGTGAGGCTGAAAGCGGCTGCAAGGTCCGAAGGAGTGGGCTGGCCCAGGAGACCCCACCTAGATTTGGTGGGTGCAGAAGCAGCCCTTCTCTCTGCCCTGTCCCCTACCAGATGTGGATGACAGATAGGCATGCATACACAGGCAACAGAGGCGGCTGTACCAGGCCATCGATCACCCAGCCCTGGGAGCCACACAGCTGTGCAAGCTGGTGCTGGCACCCCCCACCTCCGCCACAGGAACTAGGGGCTCCTCCTGGGCCCTCTGGACTCCAGAAGGCTCCTTCAGTGTTGGCCCTTCAGGTTAGGAACCGGTAAGGGGAAGTGACAGACACCATCTCATCAGGTGCTGACCCCAGGAGGACCCAGAGGAAACCCAACACTCACCTAGCACAGTGTACAGGGAAGGGAGACCACACCAACCACCCGTTGACGGCACACACAAAGACATATCACTGCCCTTCATCCGACTTGTGACTGACCAGGACATGCCCCCAGATGCACTGGCTGCATTCTCTGTCTGAGGGAAACCCTTGGCACTTGGCACCCCAGGGGGTCACGAGTAGATCACAGCCCACCCATCCTGCCTCCACTGGGACTCAAGAGCACCCCGCGCAGCTCCCACTTGGTTGAGGTGGGGCTGGTGCCCAGGTGCCCAGGTGGATCCGCTCGTGGAGTCAGGGCACTGGGGACGACCCCAACAGCTGAGCGGATCTACCTTTCTCGCGCCCCGTGCTCCAGTCCAGCCCTGGCTCCCAGCGCCTCAACTTCGTAGGAAGCACCGATGTCTGCCTTACCCGCGTCTGCCGAGCCAAGCCTGCGGCTCCCGCCAAGTCTATGAGAAGGAACGAACTTCCCGCGCTCACCCGTGGACGCCGCAGGGGAAACTGAGGTCAGATACTGGGAGCGGTTCGGGCGCACTGGCGTCTCCTCAAAGCGGCTGCCGCCGACTGCGTCCCCCCCCCCCCACGCCTGCTCGCCCACCGAAGTTGGCGGCGAAGCGCGCGCGTGCGCTACGGCGCGGGCTCCCGGGCGCAGCGACCTCCGACCCGGCTGGGGCGAGGGGAGGCGGCACAGTCCTTGCCCGTGCACTCGCCGGCCGGTTCGGGACAGAGTGCTGACCGTGGATGCCGCAGGGCCACTGAGTCGGGAGTGGCGCGCAGGTGCGAGCAAGTGGGGGGCGACGGGCACCGTCCCCGCCCCCGTTGCCTGCAGGCTGCCGCGGGGGTGCGCAGAGGCGCGCAGGTCTCCCGGGTCCCCACAATGGTGTGAGGGGGTGTCAGCGATCATCTGTCAGGGCTCTGGTCCGGACTGCTGTCTGCCCACCTAGCCGGGGCTGGGGCTGAGCCCAGGGACTGGTCTGCAGAGCTGTTCTGCAGGGACCAAGCACAAACCCAAGCTGCTTCCCTTCGGCTCTCTTGGGGCCGTGGACCCTGTACAGTTTGTCTCCAGACAGAAGGTGAAATAGCTCTGTGCTCCTGTGCCCTTGCTATCCTACTGATGGTCACTTTACCAGGCTGGACATCGTGTGTGGATGCCCCTTTCTTGGACGCAGCATCCCAATCCTCTCTCCCCAAAAGTGCCTGGGGGATGCAGTGCTGGACAAGTTTTTGTCTGTGATGTGAAGGAGCCTCTCTGCTCTTGGGAACTCTTGGGGGTGGGTGGTAAGAGGGCCAGGAAAGGTGAGGGAGGCACATCATGAATTTGGAAACGCCTTCCCCACCTTGTCTTCATAGCCAGAGCGGCTTTTAACCTGTCAAAACTCAAACATCTCAGGGTCCTCTGCTGGTCCTGACAGAAATTTGTCTAGCCAGTTGGTTCTGTCCCAGAGGTGGATACAGCCATGACTGGAACAGCTAAAGCCTTTGATTAAGGGACAGCACCTTTACTAGAGATCTATGAAATGGGTTCGAGATACAGGGTCTCCAGGCCAACTCTGGGGGCACTAGGAATCACTTGACTGTTGGGAGCCCAGATTGTCTGCTACAGCTACCGGCTTCTGGGGTCTTCCAACCCACCTCAAGAATAGGGAGTCTGGGGAAGTAGGAGGCTTCTAGTGGCTTCTGGGTGCTGCCCACCAGCAGGACAGAAGCACTGGCTTCAAAATTCAGTACCTCCTTGACCCTGTGAGCCAAGCCCTAGTTTCCCAGTCTGTTCAGTGGGGGTGACAGCCAGGGCCTGGTTCCTGGCAGGGATCTTTGGAGGGCTGATTAAGGAGCAGGGCCATATGGTTCTGGGATGAGAGTCCAATTTGGTCTCTTCGTGTTCTCATGCTACCTCCTGATGCAGCATCCACTGCCGTCTGAGAGGTATTCATGGGTGGTGTGGGGCCAAAGGTGCTGTGGCCTTGGCAGCATGCTAGTTTTATCTTTGCCTTCCTGACCTGGCTTAACTGACCAGCTGACTGTGCAGGTGGCACTGTGCTGGGAGACAGCTTGTGCAGCCATCATGTCAGCAGCCCTGTGGAGACAGGGACCAGGAGACTGGTCTCTCACCATGGGTGCTCACCAGAAAGGCAAGGGTCCTAGGGACAGTTCCATGCTCTTTGGGCCCTCACTAGTCACCTCAGGCTCCAACCTGAGGATCTTGGAGAGGCCATGTCTGCTAGTATAAGGAAGAGCTGGCCAGAGGCTGTGGGCATCATCTAGGGAAGCTCTGGTCTTGAGAAGCCCTGATCTTGGAGGGCCCTGGTTTCAATGTGCAGGAATGAAGCCCAGTGAAGTTCAAGTGACTGAGCAGCCCCAGGAGAGATTAGGATGTTCTGTCATGTCAGAAAAACAGGAAGGCACTACAGGAAGGCATTAGAAGGGATACTTAGCCCTGTGTCAGCTCACCCCTGCCTGAAGATCTTTTACAGAGGTTTGAGAAGATGAAGGAGTTGTACCTAGAGGCACTCAGGGTACACATGCACCCAGAGCTCTGCCTGAAGCTCGAGACTAGATGTATTTGGAAGGATTTCCAGGCATATAGGAGAGATCTATGAAGGGAGAATGTACAGGCCCCGGGCTCTTGCTCTTAGGAGTCAAATGAAGTTGACCCGATGCTTGTTCCTTGCCCTCTGTCCCAGGGGGTCCCTCGGGTCCTCTTCACTCAGATCATGACCACTTGCTGGGACCTATCCTTTCTACATACTGGAGACCTAGGGCTGGGCCTGGGACCCCACAAATTTGTGATTTGGTACTTTCCTGAAGCCCTGTATCCTGACCTGCTTAGCCCCTGCCCATACTCCTTGGGCTATATCCTCTGTCAAAGGGGCAGAGTGGAGTCTCTGTCTTGGGGGACTCCTGACCTTAGGGGTATCCTAGGCAATGATGGTGCATACTACTTGCATGGTGCCCCTGCTTCTGCCTTCAGCTGGAAGTTTATCTCTATCATTAACTTTATCTGCCTGGCCTGCCCATGGCTACCCGCTTGTCACCTCCATTACTGCTGGGGCTTGCCGGCTGGACAGAGCTGGGGATGTGCAGGCTGGCTGGGGTCTGCAGCCATAGGGTGCCTGGGGCAGACCTGTCTCAACTTCTCAGTGTTGTAGCCCTAGCCAGGATAGGTGTGGGTGGAGGCACAAGCCATGGAGGCAAGCTGGACACTTCCACACACGCACCCAGAGCTCTGCCTGAAGCTTGAGACTAGATGTATTTGCATCGGCAGCAACGCTAGGCCCCCGGGGGTGGTCGGCATCACATAGCATGCTTACCTATGGCTCTTATCTGCCTTACTTAAGGGTGCAGGAACTGGGACAAGACCTTCAACCTGGAATACCTGGGCTGTTCTTGGGACCTTCTGCTTCTTGCCTCAGCCTGGCGACTGCTGGAGGTACATGGTTGAGGGCCTGAGGGACTGTACCTATTGAAGCTATAGACTATGACAGTATGAGGGAGCCACAGCCAGCACACAGTAGGAATATGAGTAGGGAGATGGGTGACTAGGCAGAGACTTGAGAGGACTGGGTAGCTTGGCTCACAGTGCACACGTAGAGCTTGAATTCAGAATTCTCCACGACTCATTGGTCAACTGGGGCTCAATGGGGCTGCTCTTTGGTGTGACTCAGATAACTGGCAGGGGCTGAGGGGCAGTGCTGCAGAGGGAGTGAGTACCCTATCACAAGATCATGCAAACTGGGGCATAAGCCTCTTCATTTATAGAGAGGCAGCAGCATGCTGGTGGGATGAGGCTCAGGCTGCCCAAGCCCCCACCCAATTTTTGAGCCTGGCACTGGTTGAGCAGTGCCTGGGGCCGACAGCAGCCATATGTTGGGAAGAGTTGCTGTGTGCGTTGCTCTGCGGCCCCCAGGGCCGGCCTTCCTGGGCCTGTCACAGATAATTTTTCTCGCCTGAGTGGCAGGCTGGTTCGGGTGGGGGAGTGGGGGACTGTTAGCTGGTTTCAAGTCCAGGGCCCCCACAGCCCTTGACCCCAGGATTTGCCTGTCTTGGGGCAAGTCCTGGTCTTGGCCTTGAGCCCCCTAGTACCTCATTAAATGCCCTCCCTGCTGTGGTCATTCTTGCCCAGCTCAAGGTTGGTGGCCCTGAGACTAACTCTGGCCAGTCAGCAAGGGACAGACCTTCCTAGTCAGATGTGGGTGGCAGCCAGGGGTCCACACTGGGCAGCCATGTGCCCGGGGCAGGCAGGAGAGGCCAGGAGCACAGCCCTGTCAGCCCAGCGCCCAGAGCTGTGTGCAGGGAGGCAGGGAGGCCACAGCTAATTTGTACACTAAGTGCTTCTGACAGGGATGCTTCACAAGTGAGAATGTGCCACCGCCCGCCCCAGGAAGGCCATGATAGCTGGCAGCACCAGCAATGAGGACTGGGAGGGGGTCATGGGAGAATAGGGCCAGCCCAGGCCAGGAAATAGGGACTAGAGAGCCACTGACAGAACGGTGACATTGTCAGGGTGACTACAGGAGACTGTTGAAGGGTTGGGGGGGGGCCTTCAGCAGGGGAAGGAGGGGACCCCTGGCAACTGTCCTTCTAACACCTTGCGTTCACTGTCAGCTGCAGTGACGAGTCCTGTCTGTTACTCTCTTGAGCTTTGTGACCCTATGCTCAGGACAGTTCACACTATTCTCTGCAGGCTAAGCTGAACCCCAGGTGCACTGCAGTGGTGGCCCAGCTGTCTGGCCGGGCTGTTGATGTCAAAGTGGATGCCATTAGCTCCTAAGGCTGGGCTGGTCACCTCCCCTCTCTATACACCCCAACTGCCTCCTCCAGACCTCCCACTCTAACTGCACTAGACCCAAAGAGCTCCAGCTTGCTGTCTAAAACTAGCTTAAAGATCTCACTGAAGGCCTGAGATTTAGCTCAGCGGCATAAGCACCTGCCTGGAAAGCCTGAGGTTATGAGTTTGATCCTGGGCACCAATAAAGAAAGAAAGAAAGGAAATTAAAAAAAAAAAAAAAGATTTCACCTGAGTGTCCCCAACTCCTCTGTGGAGCCCTCTCTCCATTCATACCCACTGCCTGCTAGGGCCAGATTGTGTGTGTGTGCATCAGTTGAGTGGGAGAATGTGCAGCTGCAGGCCTGTGTGGACACTGGAAGTTCCTTGTGTGTATCTTGCATTCTGGCCCCCCCTCCTGGTTTGTTCTGGGGCTGGAGGCCACAGAGGTCAGAAAGGGTGGGTGCTGGTAGGGCCAGAAGGGGTCTCAAGAAGAGCCCAGGTCTGGGATGTCCATGGTACTGAGCATGGAAGGTGCCAGCTCTTACTAGATGTGCAGCTGATGTGGTCTGGGCTCTACCCCACAGAAGGTCCAGCCTGGTGAGCAGTAGCGGGGGGCAGGGCCAGTGCGCTGTGGGCTCAGGCGCTGTGGGCTTCGAGGTGAGATGTGTTATGGCAGCTGCCCCGCTGCCCGAGGCCCGCCTGGAGCCAACACTGCTGGTGGCTTTAATTGCTTTCACATTCGATGGGCTGGCCTGTGACAGGCCTCTTACAAGGAGCACTGTGGCCGTGCCCCCCCCCCCCCGCCCCAGCCCTGCTCCGCCCAGGAGGCATCCTCCAGCCCCAAAGGGGCTTGGGCTGCAGGCCTGAGGGGACTGAGCAACTCAGCATCACCTGTGACACAAGGCAGAGGCCCAGGCTAGAACAAGACTGGGAGGGGAAGCAGTGCAAAAGCAGAGTAGGAGTAGGAGCAGAAGCTTGAGTTGCCATTCCACTCTGCCCTGCTCAATGCAACTGCTCCTGCCTAGTGACTGATGGGTTCAGACAGGGTCCCAAGACACAGGGAGGGTAAAACTACACACACACACACTGTTCTGTCTGCCACAAGGGTCCTTTCTGAGGTTGCAGTCTGGCCCCAGCCTCTGCCCAGCCTGGATGCTTGGTCCTTCCTGACAGCATTTGCCCAGCCTTTCCCCTGCCCCCCAGTGGCACATCTGAAGTTGATCTTGGGGATAACTACACACATGGTCACTATCACAGGCCTTGGTAACCTTAGGTACAACTCTACCATGGAAATCCCACCTGCTGCCTAGGGAGATGGCCCTTGAATAGTCAGTCTGCTTTTCTACAGGCCCAGATCCTAGGAGGAAAACAGGAGCTTCCTTTACAAAACAAATCGCTTTTATTTGGTCCTTGGAGCCTGAGTGGAAACCGCCCATGGAGTCCTCAAACCAGGAAGGGACTGACAGCTGAGAAAATGGTCTCTGTTGGGAGAGCTGGCCATATTTACAAGGTTAAAAATATTCACAGCTCAGAATAAAAGGAGGCCCAGAGGGGAGAGGGGAATGCGTTTCCAGATGTAAAAGCCTTACAAACCCCACAAGATGCGAGGGCCTGTAGGACCATGGTGGCTGGGTAGGGAACCCAGGAAGCTGGACTTGGACATCCACGTGGCAGACAAGGAGATTGGCTTCAACAAGCAGTGAGGGGATGCCAGGCAGGTGGGTGGCTCAGTTCCCTGGGCTTCTTGAGGGGAAGTGGCTGCCCTGCCTTGTGCCTGTGATGGCGCTAGGGTTCCTCTCTGTGGCTAGGTGAAGGCCATAGGATGAAGCTGGCCCATGGTTCTACTGGACCCTAGCCTGGCCAGCCACAGTCTAGGTTGTTGAGGACAAAGCACCCCACAAGTAACAGGACTGGCCCAGCTCCCAACTTGCTGCCCTGTCATGGCTTCGATCCTAGCAGGCGCTCCAGGAATTGCATAGTGTCATGGGAGGGGCCCTGGTCTGTGGCTACCAGGCACCCACCTCCTGGGATGCGCTGCTCAAACACCAGGGCTCCAGGAACCCTGTCTGTCTCTTCCAGGTGGGAACCAGGATCTGGGGAAACAGAGAGGCTGCCTCCCCAAAGCCACGGGTAGTCCTGGCTCTCACTGCAGAGTCCTAGCCTCTGACCCCCAAATTTGGTTTTGTGAACAAAGCTCCTGGCTACCTTTCCCTGGCAGGAGATGGCCCATGTTTATGATGATGGGCCAACCTGGTTCAGACCCCACTGTTGTTGGATGCTGTCCTTGAGGCTGGCAGGTCATGGGGGCTAGCATGTGGCCCACCTGGTTCGAGGTATTCTGCTTAGTGGCTGGGAGCCTGGGCTAGGGGCCTGAGGGTGATCAGGGAAGGGGAGGAGTAGAAGGGCATGGGAGAGCCCAGGGGGAGCTGTGGCTGGCGGTTCCCTGGGCAGGGGTCCTGAGATTCTGGTTCAAGCGTCCTTCATTGGGGTCTCCCTCATAAAGTGCATCTGGGGGACAGGTGGGCAATCTGCACAAGCCCCTTTGCAAGGGCGCAGTGGTCACAGCGGCCGGGGACCATGTAGGCCGGCGACCTCAGGTGTGAGAGGGGGGCTGTGGGTGCCCTTGGAGGCTGTCCAATCACTGAGGAAGGCCTGGGCTGCCTTTCGGTGTGCCAAGCGGTGTGTGATAGAGAATCCAGCGTTGCCCTCCAGCTGGGACAGGATCACCAGGACCTGCCTGGGGGAGGGGGATGGTGAGGACCCGTGGGAAGTCACGGTTGGGGGCTGGGGCAGGGATACCCACCTGTGCAGAGGTGGTACACTGTCCTGGGTACGTAGGCTGCCACGCGTGGACACCACATTGAAGCTGTCAGTGCAGTCACACTGGACATGCAGGTAGGACCTGGGGTGCCGGTTCTCTACCACCACAATGAGCCCAGCCCAGCCATGTGTCAGGTAGTAGCAGGTCATGCCTTCACGACCCTAAGCACAGGTGCCATATATAGGCTGGGGCCATCCAATTACATAATGAAGAACTCCACCCACCTTGTATATAGGCTCCACCCACTTTATATATAGGCTGGGGCCACCCACCCATAGGGTGAGGAACTCCACCCACCTCATGTCGTTCTCCCCGGCTCTCAGTGAGCAGGATGATGGCATCAGCCAGTGTGGTTGGCTGTGCCTCCACTGGCTCCACCATGACCAGTCTTGAGCTGTATACTGCAAGCACGTGGCCAGGCGGCTCAGGGATGCCTCGGGGGACCCCTGTTGAAGGGCTGGAGGCTGTAGAGGGAGCATGAATAAGGGAGCTGGCAGGTTTCTCAAATGGGGAGGCAGGCTTGGACCTGGGGTTTAGGGGGGCTGTTACCCTGTGTGGCAGGGGGCCCTGGTGGGGCAGGGCTCCAGTGGTTGAAGGCACAGCACACCACAGCATACTCGCCAGGTTCCAGCATGACATCACAATTCACAAACTTCTTCACAGCACGTTTGCTGTGGGCCAAGAGGCGACCCAGACTCAGGCGACCACCGCTGCCAAAAGTGGCCCGGAACACCAGGATGCACAGGTCTAGTAGGTGGCTGTCCACTGTGTCTGAGCGCCTGCAGGCCAAAGATGGTAGGCCAGTGATTTATACGGTTGTAGCCATGGGTCTCAGCCTAGCAGAGCCACCTTGTCCATTGCCCACCTGCTGCCCTCCTGGAAGAGGGCAAACTCCAGCGAAGCACGTTCCAGCACAGTGAGTGCCGTGACTCCTACAGGGCCACTGGCAGAGCTGGGGAAGCTCCCCTGCACCCGTACCTCCTGCCAATCTGAATGTATCTTGCAGATATCCACGGAGTCGAAATACCTGGATATAAGGATAGGTGTACTGATACTGCAGCTCCTGGACATGGTCCCCATACCTGTGGGCGTCTGCTGCCTGGCTCCCAGCACTGGCTCATAGGCCTGTCTGTGGGTAGTCTTGGTCTTTCCCTGGAAGCCCTCTGGAAAGGCTCTTCCTGCCAGGAAGTGTTTGTCCTGGTTGTAGCTCCCTGAATACCACCAGAGACACCAGGCCCAGGCTTCCCTGTGCAGACTTCTTGGATTTAAAGGGCAGCTCAGGAGCTGTGGTTCAGAGTCCTAGCAAGACCTAGGATACACAGAAGCTGTGCTGATCAATGTTAGCAGAAGGGTGGATAGAGTTTCCCAAGTACCCATGCATAGTAGGTCAGGGTGTGCAGTACCTGATGAAATCACTGTACTCCATCCAGAAGACACCCTCACTACTGCCTCGTGGCATCAGCTCACCCCGCAGGTGCCCTGGCCAGTGAGGCCACTCATCAGACCAGCTGCCATTCCAGGAGAAACGGCCCCAGGGGTTCCGGAGTCGCAGGAGCCTACAGACCACAGGGTGGAGGGCCAGGACTGCACAACATTCCTACCTGCAACCCCACACTTGACCACAACCACCAGGTCCTACCTGGAGCCTTGAATGTCACGGACGTCCAGGATGGAGTAGGCATGGCGGGGGCGTAGGCCCAGGCTCTCATAGGCAGCCTCATCTACCTTCATGTTGCCTCCCCCACAGGAGGCACCCATGAGGAACCTGTGCAGCAGAGTGACCTTTACTGACCAGGGTGGGTAGGGGCTGCAGATGGGGACCTTCCTGCCTACAGGGGACACATGCTCAGTGAGTCTGGGCCCAGTCTTCCATCCTGGACCCATCTGGGGAAGGTGGATCCCAGGGTCTGCAACCTTCCACAAATTCTCACCATTGAGGCTCAGAATGCTGACCAGGTGGGGCCGGTCTCAGATACCCTCCCCATTCCCACAGAAGCCTCAGTAGGTTGTGAACTGGAGGTAATAGTCACTGGCTCTTCCTATAGGCCAAATCATGTGTGGTCTTCCCAAAATGTCAGCATTGGTCCCACCTGGACAGATGCCTGGCCAACTCTTTAGATTGTAGCCAGTCTGTGCTGGAGCACCTTGTAAAACTCTGTGAGGGTCAGACAGCACTGCCTCCTGCTTTTCCCACCACTCACTTTGCCTCTCCTCCCAATGCTGCAGGCCTTGGCAGCACCTGCCCCTCTTACCCAGCCTCCTTAGAACTCAGCATTTTGGCCCAGATGAGGTCAGTGTCAACAGGCTCCTCTCGGGGGTTAGTGGAGCTGACCTGCAGCGCCAGGCTCTCGCAGGGGGCGCCAGTGAGTGTGGCCAGGCCTTCGATGGCGCGCCCTGCCTGGAGGGCAAAGTAGGAGCCATGCAGCTTAGCCAGCGCCTTCTCGATGAGAGCCACCCACAGCTGCTTCCGTTGTGCCTAGGGAAAGGCTGGAGTCACAAGGCAGCCCCAATTTGTCCATCCCACCCTACACCCTATGGGCCCACCTGCGAGAAGAGGAGAAAGCCAGCTTCATCGCAGGGCAGCATGTCATCCACCAGCACTGTGGTCCAAGTGCCATCCTTGCATAGCCGCACCTGGTAGGCACCTTCCACACATAGGGTACGTGTGACCATCACCGTCTCGACTAGGTCGGGCCGCTCAGCTAACACTGCCAGTGCGCTCAGGAACCTGTGTGGACCAGGTGGCCTCACCAGGGGACCATGGCCAGACCAGTGGCCTCCCAGCCTTCACCAGATTTGCTTGGCCCCGGGCAGGTGCCTAGAGCTCACCAGCAATTCCCCAGTAGCCCCTGTAGGATGTCTGAGGGCCGGAGGGTGTGGAAGACGGACCATGGGGTGCTGTGGTCCCTGAAGACGGAGCAGTTGATCTCATGGGGCCTTAGCCACTGCTTCACACGCTGTTGGACGCTGTCACCCATAGGGAAGCCCACAGATGCAGGCCCAGGGGGGAAGCTGTCGTCTACAAAGTTCACGCTGTTCTGCAGGGATCATAGCCAGACACTCAGCCTTGGCAGGGTATACTCAGGTCCAGCATGATCTCCCAAGATGATCCCACCTTCTCAGGAAAGACTCAGAAGGATGGGTAAGGTCTACAAGTGGTCCACAGACTCAGAAGGATGGGTAAGGTCCTACAAGTAAGTGGTCCTGCACCAACACTGCAGTTGGTGACAGATCAACTGCAACAAGTGTGTACCTGGGGAGAAGGTGTAGCCTACCAAGTGAGGGGTATGGGGTCTTAAGGAGGCCTGCTGCCACTGCGAGGCTCAGGGGGGGCTAGAGCAGCAAAATATAGCAGCACTGATAGGCCCGTTGCCCTTGCCGGGGGAGACTGCCACTGCTTTTCCACCGTGTTTCAAGGTTTTTTTTTTTGGTCTTTTTCCTTTTTATCAGTACCAGGGATCGAATTCATGACTGCCTGCTTGCAAGGCAGGCGCTTATGCTGCTGAGCGAAATCCCCAGCCCCTGTGTTTTAAGTTTTTATACTGCCCCTGGCAATCCCTCTCAGTACTCCTCTCTCAGCTCATACATCTGAGGGTGTTATGGACATTCCCAGGCAAGGGGATATTATCATACATCTTGGTGACTAGCAGATACCAGTAGTCTAGAGGATGAGCTTGAGTTCAGGTCAAGGAAAGGCCACTCACCTCCCGACAGAAAGCCACTATGTTCTCCCAGAGAGCCTTGGCCTCGCCCTCGTCTGTCTGACGCCGCTTCTCCACGTGCATGCTTTCCCTGCGCCTCAGAGGTGTGGCTCCCCGGCGCTGGACCACCAGCAGCTGGGGAGTGTGGCAGGCTGCGCAGTGTTTGGCCCGGGGTGTGTTGAGTAGGGTGCAGGCAGGGCAGGCCCACTGGCCTGGGCGCTCAGTTAGAAGGCGGGCAGCCTTGTGTGCTAAGGGACACCGTCCACAGCTGCTGCCACAGGGACCTGGTTTGTTGGCACCACAGTCTGGGCAGTGGGTGGGGGGCTCACCATGCTCCTGGAAGCCATGTAGCTTGGAGCATCCACAGGCTGTGCACCTGGGGGCTGCCGTTGGGTTCCGGAGTGTGCATTTCGCACAGGCCCAGGTGGTGAAGTCAGGGCTAGAGGGGCTGGCAGGTGTATAGCGTACGGTGTCACCGGTCAGGTCAATGACATCACTGCCTGGAGTGGGGCTGCAGGTCTCACCATGGATAAGCCTGTCCTCTGGGACTTCCTCCTCCAGCACACTCAACCTCTTGCCTGACAGAAGCTCTGCAAGGCGGGAGGATCCAGCCCCAGCCCCAGCCCCAGCCCAGCCTTTGGAGCTAGTGGAGGGTGAGGGCTGAGCAGCCTCAGGCACAGGTGGATGCAGCTGAGGAGGAACCTCCCTGCGACTTCGGGGCACAGGGTTGTTCTGTAGGGTACATGAGAAGGGGCTGAAGGGCGGTACCCTGGGGGGTTCCTGGTTAGCAGAATTTGGAGCTTGGCTGGTAGAGGGAGGGTCAGCCTCAGCATCTTCCCCAGGAAGGACTGGCTGGGTAGGGGTGGGTACAGCATGGAAGCCTGAGGGGGCCACTACCTCAGGGACCACCAGTGCTTCTGGAGGGATCCTAGGCAGTGACAGTTTCCGGGGGCCCCCACAGACAGAGCAGGAGCTGGCCACAGGTGTGTTGTGCAGGGTGCAACGCTGGCAGGCCCAACCACTTCTGGGTTCTGCCCCTTCCTCTGGGTCTTCCAGCTCCTCTGCTTCCCCCTCCTCAGGGCGCCCCCTGGCTGGCTCCATAGCCTCCAGTCCCACTGTCTGTACTGGGCCAGCCTCTTCCTTGCAGTTGCCTTTTGGCTCCACAAGGACAGTGGGTGGCTTGGGCAGAACCCCATTGATAATGGGCAGCAAAGTGGCCCCACGGCCAGGCTCTGGGGTGAAGCCGCACACCTCGCAGGCCTCCTTGCCCAGGAAGTTCCGGAATGTGCAGCGTGCACAGTGCCATTTCTGCTCCTCCACGCTGAGCCGCAAGATCTGGTCCAGGTCAGGCTTGTGCCGGGGGGCCTCGCAGATGGAACACTGGCGCTGGCCGGCTGGGTTCAGGAAGGTGCAACGTGCACAGGACCACTCCCCCACCGTGGCCATAGACCCGGGTGAGTGTGTGTGGCTGCAAGGGAAGGCCCTGGTCAGTGAGACATCTGTGAGGCTGTGGTCATGATACCACCCTATCACGAAGGACAGCTGGGGGTGAAGGAGCTGGTGAAAACGAGAATGTGGTCAACTCAGGTAGGTAGGGGGGCTATTAGAGATAGTGTCCAAAGTGTCTACCCAAGGTCAATCCCAAACTCTGGCCTCCTTGCTCATTAAGGGCATGGTTGGCTCCTAAGCCCTAAACCTAGATCTGGATGAGCCTGTGGCAGGGTAGTGATAGGTCCTAGGTAGCTGCACAGAGCCTGCCCAGGAGGATGCCTGAGGGCTCGGCTGGTGATCAGGGCCAGAAGGCCTGTAATTCTTGTTATCCTGAGGACAGGATACATGGTCCCTCTTGGGTTTCAGGACAAAATACAGAGCATAGTATGTGAAGGGGAGGCAGCCAGCAACCCCAGATCTGGGTGAGTTACTGGGCCTCTTCTTCCTGAGTAGAAGAGGAAGTGTTGGGGCACAGGGGAACAGGCAGGATTCACAGCAGGCAGGGGCTTTCCAGGTCTTAAGGAACCTGGAGTAGGATGAGGCTGGACTGGGGAAGGAGGTCTCTGTACTCCACAACATTTCTTCAACTGACTGTGACTTGGCCTGTAGAAAAATCAATTGTTCTGTATAATAAGCCACAAAGCTTATATTTCTCATCCTTTGGGTCAGGAAGAAAGAAAACTTGCTCTTCAGGAAGAACAAAACCCCGAAAATCTCCCCAAGCAACACAAATGGTTCCCTGGGCTGATTCTATTAAAGGCAGGCAGAGTGATACTTGGCCCACATGGTGGATGGTGTTGACCTGCCCATGGCCGTGTCCACAGTGGGTAAGGCCTGAGTAGACAAGAGGACCTCTGAAGAACCCTGGGGTAGTGGAGCATATGGTGCACTGGACCTAGGCTTCTATGCTTAGAAAACCCAAGGAACCTGCCTAGAAATCCTGACCTCTCCCTTTCCTTTCATGCAGAGAAGGGCTCATGTCAAGATGCAGAGCACAGCACATATCCCCACAGAAACATGTGCACACATGCTTGAGCACATGCCTGGGCAACTGGTTTCACTAGCACACACACACACTTGGCAGCACAGCCCAGCCAGGCAGCCAGAGGGGCCTGTGTGGCCAGCGTAGTGAACCTGACTTTCACAGCCCATTTCCTAAAAGTCTCCAGAAAGAAGACTCAGGCTGAGATGGCTTTAGCATGCAACAACTGGCTGTCCAGCAGAGGTGGCCCAAGCCCTCCAGGACATACCCTGCCTCCATCTCAGGCCCCAGACTGAGAGAAAGAATCTTGAAAATGCTGGGAGAAAGAGTTCAGGTTCCCATGCCCACCTGAACTGGCCAGGGCCTTGCTTAGGCTTGGGTAGATTCAAAGCATCACATCTGCTGGCCCAGCCAGTACCTGGGAGGACATGGGTTGAGGGACATGACAAGAATCAAAGCTCTCCTGATGCATATGGCAAATTAGGAAGATTCTGTTAGCATTTCAGAAGGTTTAAACAAAAATCAATTCTTACAAATCAGATTTGGCCCTAGGAAAATGGCCAATAGGGCAGAAGGGCCTATGGGAGAGAAGGCCAGTTGGGACTAGGGACTTTGAGGACTGGCCCCCTCCACATCACGTGGGCTGGAGTGGAAGGGGCTGAGGGGCAGTGACCAGGCAGTCAGGAGACCTAGTACGGCCCCAGAAGTCACCTTGCTTGGCTCACTTGCTTTGATGCATCTGCTGCAGGACCTGTGAGGGGACCAGGGGCTCAGAGTGGTGAAGCCCATGAAATAGTAGCAGGCCGGGGCTGGGGATTTAGCTCAGCGGCATAAGTGCCTGCCTTGCAAGCAGGCAGTCGTGAATTCGATCCCCGGTACCGATAAAAAAAAAAAAAAAAAAAAAAAAAAAAAGGAAAAAGAAATAGTAGCCAGGCCAGACACCACCAGGCCTGTGAGTAAAATCTCATGTTAGGAGCCCAAAGACTTAAACTGATGTTCTGCGGAGTTAGCAAACCCTTCTGAAATTCTTGAGCTGGGGTACAGCTCAGGGCAAAGCAGTTGCCTAGTATGTACAAGGCTTTGGGTTGTATCCCTAACACTCAAAAACAAAAACAAATTAAAATGCCCCTTCAGAATTCTCAACAAGATACTCTCACATCTTGCAGTATACAAGGTCAGACTAGAGGCAGCCATGCTGAAGACCCCAGGAACAATTCTACTTTTCGAGGGACTGGCTTTTGGTGAGGGAGACCAAGGCAAGGACCAGAAAATCTGGCACAGGACATCTCTGCCCTTAGTTTCCTGGACTTGGAAGGGAGGCTGTGAACTTATGGGGCAAATAACAAAGCTTATCTGAAGAAGAGAGCAGTGAGCACTGAGGCGGAAATTAAGGCCACCGCATCCTGTTATGACAAGAGGGCCTTCTCTTCCTGAGAAAGTAAGCCAGCAAGTAGTGTATCATTCAGCACCTTAGTCAAAGGCTCCAGACCTCTGGGGCTGGGCAGCCAGTAGGCCACACCAAGGGATACTGGCCATACCTACTAGTTGTATAACCTGATATCTTATCTTCCAGCTTTATACCCTGGGGACCGGGCTGATTTCACAGCTGTCCCTGTGTTCATAGGTCAACTACATGCTTGAGGTTTCTACCTCATGCTCCCAAGAAGGAAAGTACTTCCTCTAAAGTTTTTCTTGGCCACTCTTGAGTGAGGAAGAGCCAGGTTACTCTCTCTGAGGATGGCCAGCTCTCCAGGGTAGGGTATATCCTTCCTGTCTCTGTCCATCAGCAGCCAACACTGAACCAACTGCTCACTGATGAGGTAGCTGGTGAGACATGGAGCATGGAGCTTCTGTCCATCATGAAGCAGTGGGGCAGAGAGCACAGGCACAACACACATGGGTCTCCTTGCTTAAGTGGCCTGTGAGCTACACTTTACCCATACATGCAGGCTGCCTGAGGGATAGTACCTGTTCTGACGGTGTGGTGACAGTCTAACAGGCATGAAGCCAGTGTACTCAGCTCTGCAGAGTTTCTGCCCAGTGCCTTTCCTAGCCTATCAGTGCCCTTTCATAGCTGGGAAAAGTCTGCACACTGTTTCCCATGACTGTACCTCACTGCACTGCAGTGCAGTGTGGGTGAGAGGGTCCTATAGGGCAGCCTGGTGTGGTATCAATGGCTGCTCTCCCTGAAATCTGTCAATCCCAGCTCATCTCTACTCTCTAGTTGGCTGTCTATGGACTCCTCAAGGTTATTAACAGCACTTTCTCCTGCTTTCCTTGGGGGCTACCTCTCAGTCTCTGTGTGAGACAGTAACAGCCTTAAGGCGTAGGGCCACTTGAAGTGATGGAACAAGCCAGGATTGTCAAGGGCACAGATAACAGAGGGTCTGGCAGGAGGCCGGTGACTGCTGTCACCAGGAACTTTAATGTGACTCTGCAATGTGAGAACCAAATCCAACACATGCACATACCATCAGAGGGACATGCGTGGCAAATCCCACAGGACTTGCTCCTCACTTGTACCGATCCAAGGCTCTAGTGTTCCTCACTGTGGCCAGAAAATGTGGCCATCACCACTCTTCCTGCCAAGGGTCTCAAGGAAGACAGGGAAGACAACTATTGTATGAGTCCCCAGGGAACAAATATACTAAGCTGTCCAGAGCCTGTGTCCTGGACAGGTATTCTTAAGGTTTGTGATACCAGCCTAGGGACTAACAAAGAAAGGCTGAGCATCCTCAACTCCAAACAAACAAACAAACAGGGAAAAAATATATATTCATTTCTCTGTATTCCCTTCCTCCCTTTCTTTCTTGTACTAATGGGGACTGACCCTATTTTAGAGTAGGTTGTCTACCACTGAGCTACATGCTCGACCCTCTCTTTTCAAAGTTCTGTTTTAAGATAGGGTCTTACATTGCCTAGACTAGCCTCAAATTCGCAGTCTTCCTGCCTCAGCCTCTTGAGTTGTTGGGACTACAAGTGTGGGTCACCATGCCTGACTTACACTGCTTGAATTTTTACTAAATGTATGGAATTTCTTTTTTTTTTTTTTATCAGTACCAGGAATCAAACTCACGACTGCGCACTTGCAAGGCAGATGCTTATGCCGCTGAGCTAAATCCCCAACCCCTACGGAATAATAAAAAAAATTATACTAGGTAAAATTTTTAAATGTGACTTGAAAAATATAATTTTGGATTTTTAAAAACCTTGAACTTTTATTCGGGGCTGGGGATTTAGCTCAACGGCCTAAGCACCTGCCTTGCAAGCAGGTGATCGTGAGTTCGAACCCTGGTACTGATAAAAATGAAAAAGACAAAAAAAAAAAAAAAAAAAAAAAGGAAAAAAAAAACCTTGAACTTTTATTCCACACATCAAAGTAGTAAAAAATTAAAGTGGCAAACTCACTCACCTGTCTGGCAAGTGTGTAGTGACACTCACTTTAGGGCACTGCTTGCCACTGTCACTCTCAGAATGTAGTCCAGACACAAACAGCCAGCCTCTGGGCCCGGTAATTCTACTCCTAACAATTTTTCCTCAAGATATATACAAGTAGAAGTTTTTAAAAATGTGGATAGTTGAAAACACAAAATGCTCAATAACATTATGTATCAGGGAAATGCAAATCAAATCAAGTTAGACACAACTGTGTATCCTCTAGGATTTTTAGAGTCAAAAAGACAAGACACTAACAAGCACACTCAGGATGAGAGACACCACACCCCCACCTCCACGCTGTTAGCAGAAATGTGAAGTAGTGCAACCACTTTAGAAAGCACTGTGACAGGTGCAATGAAAGTCACATAAATCCTAATGACTCTGTTCCAGGGATCCAGCCAAGACAAATGACAACATGCATCCACGCAAAAACTTCAACATGAATGTCTACAGCAGGGTTTTTTGTAAAAGCCAATTAAAAACAAGCCAAATGCCCATGACAGGTAAATAAGAGGTGGTGTATCTTTACAATAGAATACTATTCAGTCACAAAATGGAATGAAATTCTGACACATTCATAACATGGATGAACTCCAAGGGCGTTATTTTGAATGAAAGCAGCCAGACCCATAAAGCCACACATTGTATGATTCCCCTTATGTAAAATTACTAGAAAAGGCAAACCTACAGACAGGTAGCAGGTTAGTAATTGTCTGGGACCAGGATAGGAAGGCAGTGACTACAAACAGGCAGGAGGATCTCTTTTAGGGGTGCAAAGATGCCATAAACTGGCTCATGAGGATTTCTGCTCAAAGCAACAAATAATTATACTAATAGGGGAGTTTGTGATGCTATGCCACATCTCAATAGCCATTTGACAAGACACATGGAGGTGTTCCCTAGAGTAACCAAGTATGGAGAGAACCTGTCGATGTACTTTTGACACTGGCCATCCTAATTGATCTCTGTCCTCCCTAGACTTAAGCTCTATTGAGGCTCTCATTCACTAGGGTAACTGTTAGGACTCTGGACTCTTCCACAGCCCAAAGACCCCCCTCCTGTCCTTCATCTGTCAGGAGTCCAGACCTTATGTCAAAGCCATGTGAGGATTCTAGTCTCCTGTGTGCTGCCCACAGCTCCATGCTGGTCCTCTCACCATGCCAGCAGATGGCAGACTGTGGGAGTCACAGTCACATGAGGGCTGGGGTCAGCAGCTTCCCTGATCCAACAGGGTCTCTAGGCAGCTTTTTCAAGGCAGGAGAGGCCAAGGCAAAGAAGTGCCCAATGGTGGGCAGTGCTGACATACCCTGGTCTAGTAGGAGGGGTCTTATTTAGTCTAGAGTGAAAACAAGCTCTTGTACCTCGTAGGGAATAAACTGCCAGAAGATTCCAAGAAACAGGCCCCAGTCCTAAGCAAACACCTCTACCAAGGAGAGATACCCTGAAAAAGAGGCCTCTTGCCCAAGACCCCTCTGGGGCAGTCCCTCCCCACCCTCTTACCTGCGGGCCCGGGGGCGTGGGTGCTGCCTGGTGACCAGGGCACTCCCCCAGACAGGCGCCCCAGGGCCACTCCTACACCAGCCAGCCGTTGCTGAGGGCCCTGGGTAGGGCAGCCCCCTAGGGAAGCCATGGTCTGACTCTGTCTCGGTGGCCAGGGAGGAGGCGGAGCTCCCCATGGCCTCCCTGACAGTGGCCACGCTGAGAGCTGGGCCTGGTCACCTCTGGCCGGCAACACTCGAACGGGAGCATGGAGAGGCAGAGTGCCCACGCTGGAGACAGGGTGGCTGGCTGGTCAGTGACATAACAAAAATAAACAAAGAGAGAGAGAATAAAAAGAGAGAAAAAACAGTGTGATCACAGAGACAAAGTTCCAGGCCCTGGGAGGGTTCCCAGCACGCTGAGCAGCCTGTGGTAGGACAAGGGAGAACAAGATGCAAGGACCCAGGGTTCAACTCCAACTATTCAGTGCCATGGCTCAACTCTCACAGCCAGGCTCACAGCAGGTAGAGGTGGTCTGAGGTTTGCTCACAGCGCACCAGGCTTCCAACAGTGCACATCATCCCACCCTGCCACTGAATACTCAGTAATACCCTTGCCACTTGTGTCTGGTTTTCACAGGTTTTTTTTTTTTTTTTGTCTTTTTGAGACAGTGTCTCGCACTGCAGTTCAGTGCAGTGGCCTTGCGCTCACTTTGTAGCCCAGGCTGGTCTCGAATTCCCAATGATTTTCCTACCTCAGCTTCCTGAGTGCTGGGATTACAGAAGTGTATCACCACACCTGGCTTTTCACATGGGTTTTATTCCTTAGTTGGAAAAGAGATCACACATTTTTGCCCTATTATAGAAAAAAATGCATGGTTGTTTAACCGCAGGAAAAGGAAAAATGAAGGGGCAAAGGGTATGCTGGTGGTTTAGTCCTCAGAAGGGTCTCAGAGAAAGGAAGTTGAAACCATCAATGGCTAACAGAAAAACATAGGGGATTTGGGTAAACTGTGTTTTTGGAAGCATAACATCCAATCTTGCAAACCTAGCCATTCAGTCTCCCTTCCAAAGACTCGTACTTCTAGGTGACTAGGAAGAAGCACAGCCTGGCTGTGGTCTAGAAGATAGACTACCTGCACACAATAGGAGAGGCAGTCCTTCACCCCTGGCCAAGGAGGCAGAAACCAAAGAAGGCCTGCAAGTGGCAGTCCTGGGGCAGGAGGCTGATGTGCATGGATTGCCTGGGTTACTAGGACCCCAGTGCCAGGGCTCTGGGCCGAGGTGGGCATCTAGGTTGCATTTCTCACTATGGCCAGTCCCAGTTCCCACCTCTGGACCCACTCTTACCCACCAACAGCCCACCCTAGCTTCTCTGTAAGTCCCTGGTACACTGAAGCTGGTATGTGTGGAATTAGGGGGCAGTCCCAGATAGGGGGACCCCTCTACAGCACAAATGGATGAGCTGGTGGCTCCTTTAGGAGTCAGCACCTAGTCAGGTACAGCAGCACATCCCTGTGTATACCCCAGTGATTCCAGAGGCTAAAGCAGGAAAACTGCCAGTCTGAGTCAAGTCAGGGCAGTCTGTCCCAGGGTAACTCAGTGTGACCCTGTCTCAAAATAAAACAAAGGGGGTTAGAAATGTAGTTTAGTGTAACCTGAGTTCTATCCCCAGAACAATACTGCTTAATCTAGGGGTTTTGCTTGTTTGTTTGTTTTTTTGGTACCGGGGATTGAACTCATGACCTCATACTTGCCAGGCAGGCGCTTATGCCACTGAAATCCCAGCCCCAGAACAATACTGTTTAAAAAACAAAATAAAAGCACCTAACACCTGAGAGGACCAGTAGCACTGAACCCAGCCCTTCCCCAATACCCCAGGATATAGGCCCAATAGTTCTGTACCCTCTTGCCATCAGGCTTTGATTAGAACCAGCCAAGTCTCCCATGCAGCCACAACATTCACTGAATGGCCTTCTCATTCCAAGTGTGAAGGGCTGCTTTCTCCCACAGGCTGGTTGTGATGGAGCACCACTGGCCCTGAGTCCTATACCTGCTCAGGCCTCTCCCACAGGCAAGATGGGCACTGAACAAACACACTGTGGTCCAAAGCAGGGTCACAGAGCACAGACTAGCCCACCAGCCAAAGTCCATTTTACATATTTTAGTGGCTGAGGACAAGGGGAGAAGAAAAGAATACAGGAGGTTAAAATTACATAAAATTCAAATTTCAGGGTCTACAGGTATTTTTACTGGACATGGCTCCACTCATTTGTTTACATGTTGCCTATAGCTACTTTTGGAAACTGCCTAGGTCAAAAGTGACAAGTGTTTCCTATCTGGCTCTTTATGCAAGCCTGGCTGGCTTAGGCCAGAGCAAACCAGGCAGGTTCAGGTTTCCTAGAAGGTAGGAGAAGTGGTAAAAGGCCAGGTAAGAGGAATCTTTGTGTAACTCAACATATCTGATATCACTGTCAATGTGAAATCCAAAGGACATTACTAAGATACTGTGAGTCCAGGTCTCTGAGCTATATTTGCTGGTTCATCTCAATATGAACATGCTACTTCTTGGGACACAGGAGCCACATGTGCTGTAATTTCTGCAGGGGGCAGTTTGGTGCATCAGCTGCTGTAGTTGCAAGGGTTCTGGCCAGAGGCCCAGCAAGGTACAGTCTCTAGCTCTAGTCCACATCAGCCAGGTCACTCAAGATACTTGCCTCTTCTATGGTTAGTTTCAGTGCTAGAACAATCTCTGTACTACTGAGCCCCGACACACAGCAGCCTCCTACAGGAGGCATATCCAGAGTTCTCCCCCTATAATAGACTCTTATACACAGTGGAGTTGTCCATGAGGCATAAGTTGCTAACAACTGTGTCCAGAGCGCACCTGTGGTCAACAAGGCAGCTTGCCTGCATTTGTGGTAAAAGCAAAACAGTGTACCTCCGGGTCCACCTGCAGCTTCCCTGACCGGGCACCATCACCCTATCCTAGAGGAAGACATCTACGTGTTCAGTGCATGGTGAGGTGTGCTACTAAGAGTACAATCCAACCCACATAGGCCCTCCTTGTTCTTCACTAATCCCCTAACAGGACCAGGGTTGAAGTGGCATCCACTACATGGAAGATAGTCAAGTTTGACCTACCCTCTGCTGAGCTGGACCCAGCCTAGAGAAAATGATCCTGAAGGGAAGGGGAGGAGATCTTCCAGGAGGGCAGAACAACAGTTTCTTCCTGCTAAGTGCTCAGATGACAAGGAATAGGGAGAGGAGGCCAGGAAGAACAAACATTTCATGAGAGAGCCCTGAAAGCCAACCTTTCGGGGCATTCAGGGCACCTCTGGGATGGTATCACTCCACTATCCATACCTGCTCCCATCCCCCACAGGAGTGGTAAGGAACCCTACCCAGGCTGGGTGAATCCTACTTTTTGCCTGGGTTCCTGAGAGAAGATTCCTCTTTCTGTTTTTTTTTTTTTTTTATTATTATTTTATTTTTTAGACAGGGTCTTGCTCTGTAGTTCACATTGGTCTTATACTCACTATATAGCCCAGGCTAGCATCAAACTTGCAGTGATTCTCCTGCCTCAGCATTTTGTGTGCTGGGATTACTGATGTGTGCCACCATGCCCAGGCTCCTCTTCCTTGTGTTAGCCTCGGATCCTGATTTTACCAGGTAGCAACAGGGAAACTTCCTTCTTGGGTGTACGTGGCAGCCCTCATTCTGCCTTCACCCTGTGGCTGATGAGCCCATGCATGGTGAACAGCTGTACCAAGGCTTCATATGCTTTTCTTGTGGAAAGGAAGGGGCCTCTGAGGGAACAGAAGGACCCAGCAGCAGCCCCATGGAATCTTGTTCTTGTGGCTCTGGCTACTCTTCCACCAAAGAGGTCACCACACTCAAGTCACTGGCCCAAGGACCCTGGGGATAAGCCTTATTTAAGCAAGGAAGGCTGGCCATCCCAGGTCTTCTCATCCCAGGGCCTGAGCACACAGTAAATAAGGGTATGTCACAAGGGTAGGGGCCATAAGGAGCACTGACATGGGCAGGTTAGTCCAAATCCCATCTTGGGTTTATATTTCAATAATCTGGGAAGACAGATCTTATAGGAAGCAGCACTCGGAGGCTTCTCCCCAGATAGAACATGAGGGTAGAGCTTCCCACAGAGCATGGCATGGCTCTGGCCTCATATGACAGGCCTGACATCCTGCCTGAGGGCCAGTCTCTCCTGCAGAGCCTGGTAGGATAAAACTGACACTCCGCCAGTGCCTCTTGTACCTTCACTTGTGTGCCCCCATACTTGATCAGCAAATATCTATTGCTCTGCCACTACCAGGCTGTTTCAGGTCTTTGGATGTGGCAATCAGTGATGCTGAGAGGCTCCTGCCACAGAAATTCACTTCCTCATAGCTGTATGACACACTTCAGAGCCAGAGAGCACTGTGACCATACTATCTCCCAGCAGGAAGGGGCAGGGTACACTGAGCATGATAAGGTGCCCGTTTCTAGTTGGGCCTGGTGCACAGGCCGTTAATCCTACCACTAAGAGGCTGAGCCAGGAGAATCACAAATTTCAGGCTATCCTATGCAATTTACCAAGACACTGTCTCAAAATAAAAAGGACTAAAAATGTAGATCATTGGTAGAGTGGTTCCCTATTTTAATATATGTGTTGCTAAAGTGAGTATGTACAGTGCTTCCCTGACAGGAGTAAAGCCCTGGGTTCAAATCCTAGGACTGCCTCTCAGGCCAAGGGAAGGGACTCCCTGCATCACTGTCACACCCTGAGACCCAAGGACCAGGTCCTCCTCTATTTTCATCTGGGAACTGCTGCCCTAGTTTAAAATGGGGCAGTGGCCTAGATCTGGCCTCAGGGAAGTGTGGGGGTGGCTGCTACTGCTCTGCAAGGAAGATGCTAATTAACCAGAACACCACTGGCCTGGCTTAGACCTGGCTGAGGCACGCCCTGCAAGCACTTAGAGAACAGCAAGGTGCCCAGGACAAGAAAGATCTCCCTTAGGACTTAGTGTGGGGTTTGCTCTAGGTCAGAAGGCCAGGTCTTGGTGGTAACATCAATACCCTCTCTGCCCTGTGTTGCCCTCCTGGCCCTATCCTTGGTTACCTCTGCAGGTGGATTACAGGTGCTAGTCTCAACAGCCTATCCAGAACAGAGACACTCAAGCACATCTCAGATACAAACTCCAGGGTACTTCCTAAGGAGTTGGTTCTGGAGGCCATTATGACTCTTCTAAGTTAAAAAGCCTATCCAAGGGCTGAGACTACCTATTGGTGTATGTTGGTGCTGCCTGCCCC